TAGGGCACTAATTAAGATTTTGGATTACAACTTTTTATTCGTTAGCTTCGTTTCAATAGTTGAATAGATCAACAGAAGACAACATTGACTGATACCAATGGTGGAAAATTAATGTGTCTGCAATGCCTCTCACAGTCGCAGAACTGAGCTACGAGTTTAGCTGCTGAAGAATATATTATTTATTGAGTGAATTCAATACATGCAGTCGGGTTATTAAGAAGCATCTAGAACGAGCAAAAATTGACACGTTGGTATATTTTAATAGATAGCATTTAGGTGAACACCATCACAGTAATATGGCACTTCTGATAATTGGCATTCAATTGCATGCTTGCCAAAAAACGTAAGTCAATTCTGATAATATATAAGTTTAGAGAATCCGAGTTCCTCAGGAGTTTTGTCTATTGTTGTGTTGTAATGACTCAGATAACGTCTTTTGGAAATCAGCGGAAAATCACCGCTTTTAGGAAAGTGAATGGAATCATTAGGAATGGAACTCAAATTAAAATAAGTGACACGTTTTTAAATCAGTGAGTTGATTATAGAAAACCATTCATGTGTAAAATATTAGGAAACTGAAGACCAGCTGCAATAAAGAAAAAACATAAATGTGTCGAACGCGGTGAAGTGAGTTAGAGAAAATGTTTAATATTGTTCTATTTAGAGTAAAACTTTAAATTATGCAGGGCCAATTTTTAAATTGCATAGAACTCTATACCCGGCGTAGTAAGTAAAGCGATTGCCTCAGATGATCGTTTTAATATAATATTTTGATAATCATCAATTAAATTCGAGTACTAATTGCAATGCTTTATTAATTAACGGAAAGAATTCCAGTTATGATTAATGGATGTTAATATTTAATACAAACACCCACTCATCTAATTTTACGTAGAGATAAAAACATGGAAGGCGAAGGTAAAATTTATTTGGTAGACCCATAACAAAGAAATTGAAATTTACTGAGTAAAATAATACAAAATGACTTACAATAGGAAAACCGTGTCAAGAGAACAATCAATACTGAAATGAATCGTAATACTTTCTTCATTAATTAATAGTAGTTTTATCTTTATTTTTTACAGCAATAATTTTTTATAAATTATTCAGCAGCAATTTCGCCTCGTCAGAAAAATTGCTCCTATAAATATAATTAAATAATAATAATAATTGTTGCCGAGACATTTTTGAACTAGGCTCCTGTCGGAACCCGGAAAGTTTGTTAGAGAAAGTTGCTCGCGCCAGCGTTACATCAAAAAAATATAACTCATTACTCACGGCAGTGAGTGACAGAGAGCGCATTTTCTCGTCGACGAAAACTTGAGGTCACGGACAGACGGACAGACAGACAGACGGACGTGGCGAGCACAATAGTGCAATTTTACCATAAATGAGAAAAGCGCTAAAAACAAATCCGCAGAAGTTCGATTGAACCTATTTCTATACCATAGCAGCATCACCGAGACGAGCGTCACTGAACATAATCTATACTATTAAAAGCGACCTTGCATAGATGCGCACAGCTTAGCAGAAACTGATACCACCGACAAGGTGTCACTGTAAAAGCAATAAATAAATAGTCAATTGCATTTTATGCTTAAGCTTTCATTTGCTTACCTATTGGGCTAACCAGCGTTGTTCTCAGTGTGACTCTAATTCGATCATTTTTTGGAGTTCTCTCCTGAGCCTTTGATCACGTTTCAATTTAGCGTCAGGTAGGGATGAACTGCGCCTCAAATGAGAAACCTTCTTGGAGTATTCATCTGAGGATTAGCATCAATTCAGTTCTAGATTGTGAGACAACAAAATTTTATAATTTCCGGATTGATTTGTTAAATATTGCACTGTTAGAAAAATTAAGGTTAACGGTATTACTTGCGTTTCAATGGCCGGTCGGCACGTGAAAAGAAACACCGTGTCGCCATTTTTATTCTAATTTAACACTAGAATTCCGTACAACATCTGATAAAAACGGCGAAACAGTTTATTTTCACGGGGGCGACCGGCCACTAGAACGCCAGTGGGACCGTTTTTTCACCGTTTTTTCTAACAGTGATATAACATTCAACTATTTGGATGGATAGCCTATGAAAATTAAAGTGCAGTAATTTTCAAAGTTAAAAAGTGGCTCGGCGAGAAATACGCCTGCAGTTCCCGCTTGGAGAAAGCGTCGGCCCGGGAATAATTGGCTTAAAATTCTAATTAAACATGGACTTTTCATTCTGTATTACAATGAGCTTGCCAAATAAAAATTACATTTGAATTGTTTATGTCGCTTGACATTCTTCTGTTCTGTAAAGGTTCATAATTTAACAACTAAAATTATATTTTCTTGAGAATTTGGCATTATGACTTTTCTTACGTTTAATAAAGCATTCTTTCAGAATGGTTTTAATACGAAAAATATTCCTCACGAATTGCAGGTCATTTTATTTGACTCAGCGTAACCAAGTGTAGTGAAGTGAATAATAAGCTACCGTTGTTATAAGGAACTCATTTCTATATAACCTTAACTCATTTAACGTAATATAGAACTCATTTCATTAACATCATATTATGATGATTATTAAGCTATTCGCAGTCTCGGTCGTAATTCACGAATCGTTGCGAGAAGACTTGACTTGCGCCGTAAGGCGATTCAAGTTCACTGTCACGTTAATTTCTATACCTTTAATTTCCTCTGTAATACTATTTCTGTTTTATATCTTGTAATTCGTCAACCCGAACTGTGTTATGTTGATATGTAGTGCAATGTCGGATGATTTTAATTACTTGATCATTGATTTAATAGAGCTTGGTTTGTCCAGGTCCTAGACAGGTAACCTCCTGTTTATTTCAGTTGTCCCTGAAAAAACTGTGAGTTGTGAAATGTGTTATGTCTACTATCTCCATCGTAGATTATAATGAAACTCATTATCTTCACCGCAGATATTAGCGAAGCTATTTCTACAAGAGTTTGCGAAAATTATGCGCACATTAACCGCACCTTGTTTCAATAAATAAATAATGACTTATATTTGAATGCCTCTATACACAATAAAGTAATACAAACATTTTTCTTAAGTGAAGTTTTTATTGCCTTTTTATGACGTTATTCACGCTTTCGTTCTTAAAATTTTTTATTATTGATATCTTATTCGCCATTAGATTTGAAACTGAAGCAAACTCGTGTTAGCCGTGGTTGTTGTTGCTCCGCGCCCGGTCCCGGCGTCACTGGTCCATCCGTGGCTGGAGCCAACGCACAACCGCAGCTGGGTCCCTTCAAAGGTCTACGCTGCTGCGGGGTGCTGGGTTGCTAGGGTAGTCGGAGAGGTCGGGCACGTCATCCGGGTAGAGATGACAATAGTTGCGTAAGTTTCTGATGTTGTTGTTGATTCTGCTTTTGTGCCTGTTTAGGAGTAGGCAGTGACCGGAGCGAAGTTGTGCCAGCGTCCGTCTTGCAAGAGATCGTTCAGATATGTCTATTGTTTTGAGTAGAGGAGGCCAGCCGTTGAGCAATACCGGTGCTTGAATAGAGGCAATGGCTGCTCGGGCAGCGTTGGAATGGAGGGTGTTACTGACTACTTTAAGGGTTACGCTGTTAAAGCTGATTTGGAGTAAGGGCTGAAAAGCATTGATGCATTTGGTGTAGAGAGTGTCGTTTATGTTGCGTGGTTGGTGGAACGGGCTTGTGATTTGGTGGCAAACATGTTGTGGGTTGTAGCACTGCAGAAGGTACTGGGCAGGAGGTCCATGTGTTGATGAACCTTGAGCGTTTGACATCCGGAGTGGAGCTGTTTGACGGTTTTATTGTGGCAACCGTTTATTGATGACAAAGCTGAATTTTGAACTGTTTGGAGGCCGGTGGTGTAGGTGGAAGAAGTGACAAGAGACCAGATTGGACAGACGTAGGCAATTATTGGGCGGTCGATGGCTCTGGATGTTTTTAGTAGAGTTTTCTTATCTTGTGCCTGAATGGGCTTTAAAAGAGGTGCCTGAATGGGCTTTCAGATGTTGTGTTTTGAGGCTTTTGCTGCCGTGGTTCTGTGGTGGGTGGTACAGGTGAGCATGGTATCAATGATTAGGCCAAGGATTTTTGGTTGTATTGGAAGCGGAAGGCAGTTTTTTGTTGATCTTGTATTGAGGATAGTAGTTGTAATAGGCTGTGTGTGGTGTTATGAGGACGACTGTCAATTTTGCAGTCGAGATTTCCAGGTTTCGGTGAGTGAAAATGGAGGTACGTTAAAGCCGTACTTCGATGTTTCCGCTAAATAAACCATCAATGAACTATGTTGAAGGCTTCTACGTACAAGAACTAATTATATCTATAATTTATGGTGGAGAATTTCCCAATGAGTTCTCAAATCCTCTATGTAATAAAAAAAATAACAGACATTGAGTCTGGTATACAAGTGATGACTACAATCTTAAATTTTCTGAATTGTTAGAAGAGTAAGGCGGTAAATGTTTTGATATTACTCATTAAACTGTGAGAGTGGGTCGTCCATGTCTGAATCAAATTAGTGAAGATAAGCAAATGCTTTAATACTAATGCTTCTTTGCATGGAAGCAAAGAAGCATAGAGAGAATCATTTAACGGAGGAAAATAAAGCTTAGTTGAAAAAGCTACATTTAAATTTCTTCGGAGTTGTCTGATTGCTAAAGAACGACTGATAAATCATCGTCCTAAGAGATCCGAGAGTAATGAGAAAACAAAATGTCTTCACTGGCTCCACTCCTAAATCTGTCACACATAAACGTAAAATTTAGCGAGCGAACTTGAGCACGATTGAAGCCTTATATATTGGAAAAATCCGTAGAGCAACCGCCTTATTAGTGTTGGCTGAGAAGTAAGGCTAATTGAAAGATGATCATATTTGTGTGGCTAATATGACAGAAGTGCGGTGACTATTTTCAATAAGTCTTTGCCTACAACTTCGCCTCTAAATCAAATTATGAACTGCGAACTTTGGATCACTGAACAGAAATAATAATTTTTTATGTAGGATATGAATAGAACATAACGAAGAATTTTTATATCATAGCTTCCTAGTGTCCTAGATACGGTGCAGGATGAAGATGACCAAGTCAGTTCCCTGTAGAACCAACAAGTGCTTCACGATATACACGAACTTTTCACATACACAAGAATATAACTGCTCTACTTCCTTTTTAGGGTGGGATAACGCTGCCACTTAATATAATTTACTAATAATGTTGTCTGCTTTTGAAACGACTAAATATGCTTATGAGAATTGCTACAATTAATAAATGTTTTGTTTTTACAATACACGTGGTTAATTCCCGTTCAGTCTCTCAAGATTTCTTCTAGAAAGCTAATAGAGGACATAACCTTCCTTCAAGATATAAATTTTCACTGTTATTGGACATGACCAGTATCACTATTTGAAATAATTTAGCTACAAGAAAGAACCTAATATGAAAATTAACGAAGAATCATTAAGCGAAACGGAAATTTTTTAAATCGAACATTTCGTGCCGAATTTCAGATGAAGAAATGAGTCATCACAATTAATTACAGTAATTATCTGGCAGAAAAGTTATTTTATATAAATGCGAAGAACTTATTCTATCGGTGTAGTAATGTTGTTCATGCTAGGTAATTTTTGGTTCTTGCAAATTTAGGCAAAAAATTATCTCCGACGACTAAACCTTTCACTCTATTTAAAAACAATGAACACTCACAGAAACTAAGCCCGCGTGGATTAAGGCTTAATTTTATTAAACTAGCATTAATTACTTCTTAGTACTACTCAAACTTTCACACAGCAATCATTATGTGCCCTTAATCTAAACGAAGTTCACGATATCAAGCGCCCTATATAATTACACATAACAAACAGAGCGCGCACAATGTTTATGAGTCTTAGAGCTAATTTATCCTTGTTTATATAAACCATGCAGCTTGAGTCATTTCCTGATGAGTTATAATAGTTTAATTTTGGATCTATATATCTAGACCGTTGTTCTTCTCACTAAACTCTTAAATGGTCTTAACTCAATATAATCTGCCTCATAACCGGCATGGATATTGCTAGTGTGCAATACTCGACGCTACGTCGCACCCACTAAAACTAAACCACATGAAAATACGCTAAGCGAGTCAGATTTTCATGAATGTATTTTTCAGCCGTGCATTTCCTATTTCCGGTATACATGAATTTTAAACCTCGGTAATAGTTTGTTATACAAAGATATTGTGTGGCTTCATCGAGTAATCATTCGTTTAAGATCTTCAGTTCGACATGGCCCAACATAATATCATTGATGTAAAGCTAACGTAAAATCGTGTTATAAAACTTGACAAAATAAAATTTTATGTTAAGCATCTAATTACACGCACTCAACTTGCAATCAAGAATATGTTTTAATCATGTCAGTGTTTATAAATCTATTCATGCATCATAAATTCACGAGTTTAACATCGTACCTTGCATGGAAAGAAAGTGTGCAGGAATAATAAAATTATGACGTAGGTAGCATTTGAATAGAAGGAAAGTTTAGTATTATTGTATTAGCTGAATTGACCGTTTTTGTCTTTTTTCTAAAATATTTCAAAGTGACACAGGCACTTGTAACTTGAAAATCGCTGCTGACTGCACCTTGATAAACACAAAAACAATTCAGCCAATAATGATGTTAGTGCAGAGTTGATTGAAAATGCGATCGTCAAATTAGCGCGTGGCTTCTGATTAATAAATGTTTACTCTAGACATTCTACTCATGAGCACGCACAGTATTTATAGACTGTGTTCGAATATATTTGCAAGCCTACATTGTTTCCAAATGCTCAATTGTTCCATAGAAGAGTTTAACAAATTGTACACAGATACACATCATATTTTCTTAGACACTAGTAAATTAACATTTAAATATGGCAGTTAAGAAATGACATAAGTCTCGAGAGGTCTTGATAGTTTGATCTCCGAAGAGGGTATATCTGCAGTCATTGATATCATGATTAAAATAACTATAATACATGAGGTAAAGACCTCCGCTTTAAGGCAAGAGAGTTTATCCTCATTATTAGTTTCTATAAGAATGATTAGCCAGCAACTGACAAATCGAAGAATATTGAATGCAGTGTAAAAAATTGTGATATATTGTGATATGCATCATTTCAAACTGGTCAAATTTTCAAGGAAAATGGGATCAGTGCGCATTGTTGTTCAAACGAGAATTCAACGTTGCAACAATATTGTTATTAAATATAATTGAATTTAGACAAACAATACATTCCTTCTAGGATTTTTCCACCTAATACTTAACCAACAATATTTTTGCGTCGCTGGATAACCACAACCTGGATACTGATCAGCCACATAATATTTTAATGTCGCCTAGAACTGCTGGTCTTAAAATAACCACCGCATCTCATTCGTACTAGATAGCTAAAACTACGGATAAATAAACTAAATTCTTTAATAACAGGAACAACATATCTTACTAGTTCTTTTTGCAATAGTCACACTCACACTTACATAACATAGACTAAAGGCAAACATAGTTATTTATTATGACATCCAAGTTATGCTATGTGGTTGAGAATGCGTTATTTCAACAGTACGTGAGTAGCATTGCATAAAACATATTCAATGTATCTTAATGAGTTTATTGACACAAAAATTAACGGCCAACGGATCATCACCAGTTTATAATTCATTTTCACATAATATTTTTCACAGAATCAAATCAAATTGATTAAAATTAAACGCGAATTTATTTTGGTTCTCAGGTCAGATGAATGTTTGGAAGATGACATTAATTACACTTTAGGTATAATAAATTTCATGAAAAATTGAAAATTGTTACGATTTTCACAGTTTCGAATGTTTTTCTCACGGATGTTAGTAAACGTGAATATATTACAATGAGAACATTTTTTATAGAAGACAACTCTAGACAACAAAAAATTAGACAATTAAGGAGCCAACAATTATTTGAGAGATGAAAATTTCATAATCATCGTACAGTTTTCGGTTGTACTCATTTTGCCCAGAAAGATAGTACTGTAATTAAAAATTTCCATTATTCTCGCATTGAGATGAGATTAACTGAGCCTTTTAGGTAGTAAGTAACGCTTAATAAGTTGTGAATTCGTAATATGCTCTTAACTCATTCCTATTGAGTTAAATTACATTAATTAATAATTCCATACGAGGTCGCAGATTCATATATTATTACTATTTATTAAATTTATTGAACACTTACGATACGGCAGTCTTCGAAAGCCATGTAAATATAGTGCGTTAATGTCAACCCCAATAACAAGTTGATGTCAAAATTTCCGAAGATTCTTGTCATCACTGACAGCGCTGTGAAACGAAGGGGCATCATCTCGATATTATATATTGCACGGAAAAGAACAGGTTCCAATGCTTCTAAATTCTTCGCGTGACTAATCAACCGAGGAGGATGAAAACTCATTTGTTAATCAAGAATCTGATCACTGAGCGTTAATGTTTCTTGAAGACAGTGGATAGAATCCTGCTGAGGCCTTTACTAGTGACTATGAGTACTGCCGAGTCAAGCTTCCTATTCTAGAACAAAAAGCAAATTATATATTACATATACTTCAAATCACGCCAGTAAAATAACTTTTCAGTAAATCAAAGACTGTGGTTTTATCACACCCTCAACTTCACTCTCCATGAAATGCTTTGTCATCCCCGGCTTGCCGTTGACAGTTGAAGCAACGAGTTCATCATAAGCCTGTTAGAGAGAGAAATTATTTGCTGACAAAGCTATTCATTCGGTCACTGATTTCATACAATAAAATCCTAATTTTAATTTCAACTTATAAATAAAAAGGCATGAATAAATACATGTGACAATTCATAATAAAAAAAAATGATTTAATGAGGAGTACAATTTTCATTGTATAATTTGGTGTTAAATTATACATATAAATTTATGGTGTAAGCTGAACGAAAAATATTCAATTCATATAAAAAATCAGCTTATAAATAGAATTACACTACCAGACCTTGAACTGTTGTCGGATGGCGTTGTGAGGAGCGATGTCGGTGGGCGAGTTGGGGGAAGTCGGGCTTATTGTCGGGCCCTCCTCCCGACAGAACGGCCACTCCGGCTCTCCAGTTACAGCACCAACGTCTGTATGATTAAGAACGATATAAATACTGTAAACATTGTACACTTAATACCAATATTACTGAATTTGAAATCATTTACTTTAACAAGGTCAAAGCTAGAGCATAATTATAAATTACAGTTAGTCCAATTAGGATGATAGATACAAGTCATTAGGTCATTGTAGATCAAACTACTAATTCTGATCGCAAAATTATGGTAATTTTTTTTGCATGTATTAGGCAGAGTGTCATATGCATTATTTCAAACGCTTTCAAAATCATAATAAAATTTAGCACAAAATATATAAATAATTTCATTCGCGACAAAATGACCAATGCATTATTTTTATCAGTGCTGCGTTCATGACTTTCAACTGTTCCCCCATCAATAATAATGCAGGAACTTATAACCTATGAAAGCACTTGCGTCAATTTAATTTGTGAAAAGTAATTTCTCAGATTAATAAAGTCATAACCATCTGCCCCGTTACATATATATATTATGTATATGAATATTATGTTTATGAATTTTTATATATTATGGCTTTGCATTAAATTTTCATGCGTCTCAGATGTTTAATAGAAAAAATTTATCGGATGGTCCTATATATATATATAATTACCTAAATCTTAATGATATGTATGAAGGATTATCGTTTAATCTTGAATTTCTCAACCAGCTTGCACGGTTACATAGAGTTTCAGGATATAGTCATTGGTATAACTGTAATAATTGTGGTTGCTCACCAGGTTCAGACAGACGAGATATTGTGGACACGTTGTCGGCTTTCTTGAAAGGGTTTGTGCCAGTGATGCTCGATGGTTCTGCTGAAATTTAATTACTTTCATTAAGTAGTACTGTTCATTTATGGTGATTAATTTAGCGGTAGTACTTATACAGCTTTAAACAATTTTAACTGTGGGGTTTTGTTTATCTATAACTATTTTGTAAGTAAATCATAAAACGAATGCAATTTTTATAGGTTCTCATTATTATTATATTACATTATTCTCAGCAGTAACATCAGCTCAAAATATATCTTATCAATAAGCTGGTCTGAATCAAAAGATCATTATAGAAGAAAGGAATGTATGACATAATTATCGAATAAATTGAACATCATCACAGTTGTTAAGGATAACGGAACATAAGCCCACCCTCGTCCTGAGGAGCGACGTCTGACTGCATGCTGTAGTTGTAGCCTCCACCACCGCCCGCACCGCCGTAACCTTCGCTTTGTCCGAATGGATTGGTGCTCCCGCCTTGGTTGCCTGTAAGGCAATGGTTTCTTCAGAATATGAATGAGAAATTCTAACTCAATTCATTCCATTTTTAGCATTCACGTAAGTTGAACAGTAAACATATTTTTTTTTTAATCTTGCAACAATTTTTTTTGCTTATTTTATACAGTTAATCAAACTTTCAAGTAGCACATGCCAACATGCCAGGCTTGATCGAAGAAAATTCAGGGATTTAAATTATTTTCAAATATTTTATTGATTAGCATTAAACAACATTCAATAATTTATTGGACATTGCATTGCAAAATATTTGAAAATATCGTGTTTTCAAACTTTTGAAACTCAAAGCCAAGAAATGAGAACTGGTGAATTTTACATGGATGTGTCCAGAGCAAACTATTGGGCATTTTGATTTTGAGGTCCAGCAATAATTGATTCAAATGCGCAAGTACAATTTTCTAGCAATGGTTTAATTAATTAACGAGTAGAGTTCATTCTAGTTGAATTTTTGGTAGAGGATGCGCACACATTTGATAGCTTACCAATTATTTATTTGCGGGTTTTGAACAGGATTCGCAAGAAAAATTTTATACTAGAAAGAAAACATATTTAAATTTGCTTTTAACTTAACGAAAGTTACCTTGCACATCAAGCATGCCATTAGTAGTGCAGGAGCCATAGGTGTTGCCTTCGGTCTTGTCGAGGTGCTGCGTGCTGTGGGCTCTTGGGATGGGGTTTGCGGGCACACCGTGGGGGGCGAGGGCTGCTCCTTCGTCAGCCATCTGGCGAGGGTCTTCCTCGGGGGGCACGTCAGGCTGGAAGCCACCTTCCCTCCTGTAGAAGTTCACGAAGACGAACACTCCCAGCACCAAGAGCGACAAGAGGCCATAGCCGAAGAATACTTTCGTGGTACCTGCAAGATATTGGATATAATTGTAGATTCGGTGAGTGTCGATACTAACAACCATATTTTAATGGTCGCAAAAAAAAATAATGAAATAAAATAAAATAAATTCAAAAATAATTGTTAAATTTATCATAGTCAGAATGTGAATTCAAAACAGTACAAAAGAAACATCATTCCTGATGCAGCGCGACTGAGAAAACTTTCGATTGTATGAATTATACTTTAATAACTAGCAATGAAATTAAGTATTTTTTCATCATTGATTCTATGTAATTACAATACGATATACAGGTTTCAACATCAGTAGAAAAATACGACTTTCAAGGCAAAAAAGAACGATGAGCTTTTATTTACGCATAAACGTTCAATAATGGAAAAAGCGTTTTAATCATTATCATGTTCAATACGGGAAATACGAATTTCTTAATCGCAACCTCATAGTTCTTTTATATTTTCTTTAAGCTTCTGATGTCCAAATAATTATTTAGTAGAAATATTTTATTCGCATCAGCTATACTGTATATTAGTTACAACTATTCCAATATAGAAGATCACAAAGAAACCTGTGTGGAATTCTTAAAATGATCGTAAAATTCTTTTGATCTTAGGGTATATTTAATGAAAGCGTGAGCAGTGAGAGACTTGATATTTTCATTCAGGTACGAGTATATCAAATTTAAGCTTCTGGTCTAATCTTGGAAGCATTTTTCATATATCTGATCAAAATGCAGTATTATTATCTCCAGATTATCTGCACTACTAACTAGTTGGACAAAAAATTATTTTTAGTACATTATTTTTTATCCACTCCAATTAATGATTTTCATCTGCAAATACAGCAAATTTTCTGCCTTGCTTAAAAATTCCAATATGGATTTATAGGATTCAACGATGTTAATTCACGTTGCAGTAAATCACTTGAATACATGAAAATTTTCCATAATTACAACTTACCGTAAGCATTAACGATAGGATTCAACGATATTAATTCACATCCGAATGAATCACTTAAATACATAAAAATCTCCCATAATTACAACTTACCGTAAGCATTAACGATAGGATTCAACGATGTTTATTCACGTCGGAATGAATCACTTGAATACATGAAAATCTCCCATAATGACAACATACCGTAAGCATTAACGAACAATCCTCCAATGATGGCCCCGCAGCCACGGCCGATGCCGTGATGGATGCCCTGCAGAACGCCCTGCGCGTGGTGACGTAGATGTGCCGGGGTGTTGTGTGACAGGTACGAGCAGCACGCAGCCCACACCGTCGCGTGTGTCACACCTTGCGTAACAAACAAGACCACAGGGCCTATACTAAAAAAAGTTATGAGATCGTAAGTTCATCCGCCATTCATTGACGGCCTTTCAAGCAAAATCCACCATCATAGACAAGAAAATAGAGCGTAAGTACTTACGTTCACTTAGCGAGTTTTGAAAGTATGGCCCTAGCGTATTACATTTAAGTTCCATTAAATCATGCTTTCTGACGTGTTAGTGTTGTTTCACGTTTATCATTATTTTCATGACACATGTTCTTGGGAGGAATATTTCTCTTTACGTCAGCAGCAAAACATAATGATGAAAAAACTCATTTTTTGTCACCTGGTTACTCTCATTGTCGCTCAAGTTTTATCTATTTAAATTACCACTCGATTCCAAAATTTATAAACCACCTTATCTCCAGTTGCGTGTATTTTCGTTTCTATTCGTGGTCAGTTAGGTGGTGCGTGCCTAGAATAAGAGATTGCACAGCTAGCTCTAGCACATGGATTATAAATGGTCTCATGGAAATCTTATGAGAAAATACTTTGATTACGTATTACATACAAACTAAAACTCTTTTTACTCTCACCTTGGATGAGCTCGAAGGGGATCACCCACCATGGGTTTTCCATGTAGGAAATGTACAGAAAGCGGAGCACGTTGGCAGCTAATCCAATGCATAGGACCTTCAGAATGAAAAATGTTATTATAAGTCGAGTAATTTGAAGTAACATCTATTATATTGCTCAGAATTTAATATAAATACTCTATAGCGCTCCAGTCTTCCAACATTCCTATAAATAACTGCAGTGTTAATTTATATGTAGAACAATCTGCTGAGTTTTAAACGTAAATTGGGTTAATTTAATTTGTATAAAGAAGATTTACAAACATTCGGGAACAAATAAATGAAAATATGTCTGCTAAATAATATAACAAGTTTGTACATAATATTTGTAAACAGCCTGGCGCACATAGATTCAGTGGATGTTATTCGAACTCGAAGAGTTCCAACGTCCAACCAATTCCTTGATAATATTCGAATATGATACTTGTTTGCCATTGCATAGTCTGATCGAAATTAAGCTATCAATTAATTTCTAAGACTTAGATCTTTTAATCATGAGATAGTCTGATCGAAATTAGGCTATCAATTAAGTTCTAAGACTTAGATCTTTTAATCATGAGGGTAACGTTTTTCAACACAGCGCTAGGTCACCTTAACATGTCCGACTTCTGCGATCAGGCGGAATGACAAGAAGTAAGCGCCGATCTCGGAGATGTGGTTCAGGATGCTGGCGATACCGAACAAAGTGGGTGTTCCTCCGTAGTCCTAAAACGTGGGCAGACGCTCTTATTCAATCAAGAAAATTATAATAAAATAGTGCAAACATGGAATGTAAATGAAATTTATCATGGAGTAGTGATACGCGTTTCCGGCGATGCTAGGATTTATGAGATCTCGGCTGGATTTCAAAAACTTTTTGCATCGCCACAACTAACATTGAAAGTTGTACGCTGAATTTAGGTTAACAAAAAGACCAATTGAATCCAATCAATCCCGAATACAATTTAGCTGCGGTTCTGAAGTGCGACAGAAATTTTAATTATCTATTTCATCTTCAATTTTAATTCAATTGCATTTAAGTGAATTCTTCAACCATACAATGGTTTACGCTACCCTTTCATTCCACCATTAAAATAAATTTTTAGATCAAGCTTATATACATAGAAAATATGGTAATTTTAAACAAGTACTCAATAATTTACGCCATATGATAATATATAAGGAATTTCGTATTTATTCTTCAGAAAATCGTTTCGAATAGGTGCAGGATATCTATTCGGTTTCATCATAACTTTTCTTTATCATAAAATGAGATCAGTATCAAAAGTTGAAAGTCGTGTGAATATTGTTCTACTTTACGTGATGATCGGAATGTAGATTCGATTTGACCCAATATCCTCAAGTGCGTAAATAAGAATCGATTGCGATTATTCATTGGCGATATCCCAAATTGAAAATTTTCAAATAATGAAACCAAATTGCAGAATTAAAATTTTGAGGAGATTTAAACCACGAAAATAACATTAAGTAATCTGATATAAATCACAGAGATCAATTCCTGATAGGTGATAGGAAATATTTGCAACTATAGCAGGTTAGCCGGTTTTCCCGGGATGAATAATCTTTGCATATTGGAATGCCGTTATACCCTACCACGTCATCCAGAATCTAGAGAATAATTTGATACTAAAATACCTCAATTAAAGTGAGGTCTGTTCAAACTCACTTTTAGCTCCGAATTTCAATTCAAGACATGTGACATTCAAAAGTCACATGAACATTCTCTTTAATAGTGAAAATGCTTAATCTTCACTAGATTTCTCTTTCAGTTAAAAAAAATTCCTCCCGTGGAGAAATACATTTCTTCGATAAAATCACGACACGAAAGTATCGTTGAGTACCATATTTTCCGTTGATTAATTTAAAATGAAATTAAGTTCTAAATGGATGTCCATTTTCGATTACTATAGAAAATCGAACTAAAATTCAATTTATACTGCACTAGCCACTCATACACAAAGTATTCACCTGTAGATGCCAGAAGAGGAAGGCGAAGATGAGCCCAATACCACAACCCATCCACCAGGCCACGAAAAGGAAGGCGCTACAGCGCAGAGTTTTGAACTCGCGCAGCACCAGCATCCACTGCGGCCGCTCGCGCACCGTTTGCGCGAACACGCGCGTCTGAACAGTGCCAGCCATTAGTAAAGCTGTTCTTCTCCTAGACATAGCATTACTTCTGCAAGTCAGCTAATAATACTTTCAATTTCGCAACTTTATTACCGAAAGTCAACAAATAATGCGCAATAAAAATTTACGGATGTTCTGGTAGGCTTTGCTTTTTAAACAAGTGCGACTTAAGATATAAATACACCAGAAAGAAATTGAACTGATATGAGGGTAACATTATTTTTTATCATCCATATCAATAATTTATTGAACATGAGTTGTCTGAACAAAACTAGTATAGGCCATTAACTGAACATATTTCACGGTTGTTTAAGTTTAGGTGAACGTACAACAACATTTTTGCTGTAATGTCACTGAGTAGTGTGTAGAGTTTGTCAAAAATCAAGAACTGTACTGTCATTATTCTTCTCTTTTAAAAAGCAAATAAAATTCCTTGTATAGTCATAAAAATTTTATTTAAAATATTGATAATGGAACATAGTGAATTTACGTAGTACTTTATTTGCTTTTAAATTCGAGATTATTTGGGATTCAAGTAAATTAATGGTATAATTTCTTGTCATGTAATGGTATAATGATGGTAATGATAATGATATAATCAGCAAAAGACTGGATCTTTATCTAAGTAAGTTGTCATTTTTAAGAGAGCTTTTAAATCAATGGAAAAATAAAGAGCATATGACGCAGAGAAACTGAACTTGAGCGATTTTCAGGAAAGAAATTTGTAACTTCTAATCTACCATATTGCAGGTTCTAATCTCATCTCTTTCTCGTGATTATCTGCACTGTGAGTAGAATGAAAGTTTGACAAATAATTGGTGAATTTTCAATTGCGGAATAATACATTGTCCGCCTTTGCTAGGTACATAAAACAGATTTTTAAAATAATCATTGATCAAATTTGAAGATCGAAAGCGTATGTCGATAAGGTTTACCAACAAACTGAACTACTTTATTATTATATTTATCAATTATCCTCACTTTCAGTGTGCCGACGACTTCTTCTAGCTTCTCGCGTCCGGTTTTAGTTTGCTGCATTGGGATTTTTGGTTCATTCCAGGGTCGAGGAGCTCCTTCATACTCGTCTGACTTCGGCTTAACTTCCTCCATGTTCATCGCATCATCGTCCATGCTGCTGTAGTCGAACTGAAAGTTTAATATCAATTACTGGTTTTCAACAAGAAATTATTCCTAATTTTGCAATATGTTTCTTGTTTTGTCATAGTCGTCGCTGCATAGGCGATGTTGTCAATGACATTCTAGACATTGACGTGTCTAAAATTTTGACAGACGAATATGGGCGGCTAAGAGATTTCACTTCCAATGGCTCAGAATTTTATATTTACTTAGGCAGAAACAAACATGAAACAAAAATTTGATCCTAAAATCAAGAACATTCGATAAAAGTGGGACAATATAAAAATTAAAGTATAAAAGTTCGTCTGTAAATATATTCATTGTGACAACACTACAAATTTTCTATAAATAAACGATGAAAATATTTTTTTGATAGTTACAATCAGAACTCTCAAATATTACAGTTGACAAAATAATTAACTAGTGTTATAAACCAAAATATATAGGACTAATTCAACTGGTATACTTTGACAAAAAAAATACTGAATCAGACAGGTTTTTCTAGCGCTAGGATACAATCTATTAGTATTGTTCATCATCTTAGCAGTTGAATTACGAATGACTAACCGAACAATTTTTCAATAATAATTGTTCCACATAGCAAAAATGACGCCTACAATATTTTCTACAAGCTTATTCAGATCTACAAGTTCACCTTGAACTGCGTTGCCACGAGCATAGCACAGAACATGAGCACGCTGAAGATAGTGAAGCAGATGTAGTAGTTCCTCTCACGTGGATGCGGGGCACAAGGATGTCCAGGAAACGAAACCGATTGATCTAATGCTATTCCTACCACAAACATGGCTAATCCCCAACCAAGGGATCCAAACATTCTTTGTTTCCCATATTGTTCGGCTTCTTCCCCAAGGTACGAGAGCACAGCGTGGTCAGTTAGAGTGATGGCCGGAGAACTGAAGAACTCCCCAAGCATCACCAGAAGTAGGAGCAGGAAGAATACTTTTTGGACATCTTGTTGGTGGTAAACAATGGAAGAAAATGGCGGAGAGATCCAGTCCTTCGCGTTGCCAAATTCTTCGTAGTTGGCCTGTAAAGGAGTTTCATTGCCAGTTTTATTATTGTGTGGAAAAGTTGGAGCTGGTTGCACAGTGTCAAGGGCAGTGTGATTATTACTATTGTCCAAGTGTCATTAAATTTGAATTATTGAGTGGCAACTAAGTTAATACATTGATTTCATACCATGACATTATTGAGCATTCTGTCTTATTATGCGTGTAAAAAACATAACCAAACACCATTTAATAAATTGCAATAGAGACTTTTTGCGTTAAATTTTTTTTCGAAGGGCGGGGGTTCCGCGTGAACTAATAACTTGTACTAATGGCTACAATGACTAGACTAAATCAAATTTGTAAAGTTTCATTGGTCAATTAAGGATGACTCGTAATAGATACACAAATATCCCTGTATCAAACAATCAATCACTTGATCATTACAGAAGGCATTTTATTCGCTCCCTCAATCGTACCATTTAACAACGGTTATCTACTTGGGTCAAAAGGTCGTCTACTCACCATACACGTTGATCATGTGCGTATTTAACTGAAAAAAATCAAATTATTGAAATAATAATGGAAAACGTTTAAACATTGTTCTCACACTCACCACGTGGTTTAGGACAATCGGGGACTTGCCGACGATGTGATTTGGTGGCCAGAAGTTGAGTTTTCTCATGCGGTTGAGCAGCGAAGTGTCCTCCTCTTGCTCTTCCTCCTCGCTCGCCGGCACGCGGCCCACCTTGCCTTTCTCGTCCAGATCGTTGTAGCCGTAAAGACTCGCTTTGTGAGACTCGTTCTGCGAGTTGCGTCAAGAACACCATAGAAAGAGTTATATAACAGTTTTAAAGGGTTGAAATTGCTCGTAAATTTTGAAGTGTGACTTGAAATTCATAGATTTTACTATGGTTACTTGAAATATCGTGGCTCCTATTCAATATCGTGAACCGGAAAGATCTTATACTTTCCTCGACATTTGTAAGGCTTTATTTGAGTAATGGAACTCGTTTTTTCTAACACCTTGAACTGATTATTCAACTCGAAAATAACACAACTTAAACTACAACTATTCATTAAAATTAATTGACTTTACAACGTTTTAGTCATGAGATGAAGTGACGAGTGAGATGAAAATGACCTGGACGAAGAAACATCCACAGCACTAAAAGTTGTACACAAATTAAAGAACATTAAAGGACTCACAGAGAAGGCCCTGAAGAGGATCTCGTGGGTGCCGTTGTCCTTCACGCAAGCGATGGCCGGCGGCTGGACCAGCCCCACGGACACGGTGAAGATGATCCACGACAGCACGGCTGCCAGCAGCATTATTTTGCCTTTCCGGAACCTGAGCAGCAGTCAAGATTGAGTGTCAAAATCGAAAATCTCACGTTCATAGGCATGATTTTCTTCGATAAAGCTTTATTGTCCCATCAACAGTTTCAAAGACTGTTGGGATTTTAGGATATACGTCTATACGAGTTGCATAAAATCGTTCTGTTGATGTAATACCATTAATGGATAGAGAGGTATAGGTGCATGATCCGTAAACTTTTAGTATCGCTTTTTCAAGCTGGACATTTATTACAGTGAAAATTTTAGTGTAACCCTTATATTATCACTATCATATGTATAATTAATATATAAACATTTAACAAATATGACAATTATTGTATAGTTTTCATGAAATATTGAGCATTTAACTCACTTGTCGGCCAAGGAGCCCCAAAATGGACAAGCCAAGAACTCGACGAACGGACGGCAGCCGATGAGAAAGCCTGTCTGGCCGCCGCTCATGGCCATCTGCTTGAAGTAGACAGCCATCAGCGGGAACAAAGACCCGAACGCCGAGAAAAAGAAGAAGTAAAAAGACTTCGCGAAGATGAGTTCGTGATTAGCGCCCTTGCACACCATGTCCAGGAAGTCGGAGCGACCTCTTATCTTGTGGGTTGCTTCTTTTGGTTCCGGGTACTGGTTAGGGTCCACCTCTCCTGTGAGATGAAAAATATAACTCAGTACTCACTGCAGTGAGCAACAGCTAGAGAGCGTATTTTCTCGTCGACGAAAACGTGAAGTCACGGACGGACAGACAGACGGAAAGACAGACGGACGGACATGACGAGTACAATAGGGCATTTTTTCCATAAATGAGAAAATGCGCTAAAAATACATTATTCGCGATGAAAATTTAGTAAATTAGAACCATGATCACGAATAACATCACATTACTTTTAATGAATTTTATTAGTTATCAACAAATTTATAATCCACATATTTTCAATCACTGAAATAGCCATGTGAATAGAAATTGTGCTTGTCCGGCCACCATTAGATCTAGGCTTGAAATGGTTTGAAAAATGGGCAGAAGCTAATTATTTTTCGAGAAGAAAACTTGAACGGATTTTTAGAGTCCCAGCGGTTGAGTTCGACGTAGAAAAGGACATCAAGTTTAGTATTGTGTCATAAGGACTCTTAGCTCAACATTTGCACTGTATTACGATTACACGTTCCGTTATTCTAATTTTCACTTAGGAATTCAAATTCTCGATTCCGTTTAGAATGATTTTCACACACTGTTAAAAAAATATCCGTTTAAAGGCAAGTCCTATGAGGAATGATTAAAGATTATGAAGCTTCCAAGCCTCCATTATCGACGTCTGCGTGGGGACCTCATTGAAGTATACAAATATACTCATGGCTTATACAAGGTCCCAGAAGGATTACTAGAATTTGAAACAAGAACCAACACCAGGGGCCACGGCTATAAACTAAAAAAACAGCGTTGGAAATTATGGAAAGATCGGGTTCCAAAGGCCGGATCCCTTGTGAATCAAGTCACGAAAAGTTCAAGAATCGGCAACAGGCCATGGGCCTATGTCTTCAACGCCGACACTTCTATTCTATTCTATTCTAACGGTATTACCGGCGTTTCAGTGGCCGGTCGGCACGTGAAAAGAAACACCGTGTCGCCGTTTTTATTCTAATTTAACACTATAAATCCGTAAAACATCTGATAAAAACGGCGAAACGATTTATTTTCACGGGGCGACCGGCCACTAGAATGCCAGTGGGACCGTTTTTTCACCGTTTTTTCTAACAATGCAGTTATTATAACAGTAAGCAAAGCCTCACCCGTAGCATTGGGGTCCACGTAGGGCCTTGACACCTGCCCTCGTGGTACAGGCATCCCGGTGTCTTGAGCTTGCCCATCATCGTAGTACGTCGGCTGCGCGTATCCTTGGTTCATGTTTGGCTTCCTTTAGTTTTTTAATAGAGAGAATTTAACACTTCTTGTCGGGGGAAAGGACTTCGCCTTCACCCAGGCAAACTACCTAAAGCACCTACTATGGATTAGACCACAAGAATCCAACAAAAATCTGAGCGATTTCCATTCTATTAGCTCCTTAACTGAATACAAAGGAATGGTTGTATATGAATTTTACGAAAAATATTCCTTCTAAAAGAGTGGTATAAATTTTTAAACTTATTTTTTAAAATCATAAATTATACTAGCTATGCTTTTTGCTAACTCAAAGAAAACCAGGAATCCCAACGCTTGCAATATTGCCCATATGACAAAATGTTATTTAGAGTTCGAATTGAATTAATTGGTCTATCTAAGTGCTGTTGGACGACTAATGTTAACTATGATAAATGACGGTTAATATTGTTCTTTGGAGCGACCTAAAAAAATACTAATTTGAATCATGATTAATTTTTCAATCACTAATAATTGCGATCTTCTAGCCGATGATTTTTTCAAACAATGAAGCTTTGAAAATTTTCGAAAATCGATTCCTTTGGCAGTGGTTGGGAAATCATAGTAGAGCATTTAGCATTTTGAATGCTCTACAATGCTCTAAACAAAGATGTTTTTGATTCATTTCATGCTGGGAGTTCGTGAGAACATTTGAACCACCATAATACAATTTAGAACATCTCTCAGCGGTTATTTGGTGAAGTTTGGCTGTAAAATTATTTCAAGGGTTCATTAACTCCTTTTCCTGCCCTTCGAGCTAATTACGACATTATGAACGCTCTAGCAATATTACAAGCACCACAACTGGATGACCATGAAACACTCGAGTAGGGTTATCGACATCACTCAACTTTGACTTTACTCAACAGTGCAATACAATTTTTGTACCAAAAGCTTCCATTCATTCCTTCTTTGGAAATCATATGTAGTATTTCATTTTTCACTCAGCGACTGATAAATAATTTGGTAGAAGCACATGATTTGACGGAACCTTATTGAGCATAAAACTAGAAATAAAATTTTCTTTGACGATTCGTTAGATAATAGATAACAAACAGACTTTACACAGAATAATAATAATGTTAAAATTTTCGAGTTTCGATTCACTGCCAGGACTTAATGTTGTGACATCTGAAATTTTATTCATCATATTTTCATACTTTCTCGCACAGTTTCTGACTTTTCACCAAAAACGAAGTAGTGAAAAAAACACCAGATGTGCAAAATTTTTGAAAGATATTTGAACTCCAACTATTATTTCTTGGATGTTTCCAAAGCAAGTTGTTGTGCGGCCTGAACTCAGGAGCTCGGGAACGATTGTGAGTGCGCAGTCGACCAGCGCCGGGCAGACGACGTCGCTTAGATCAATACGGCTGAGCGCTCCGCCACCCGACCCTACCTCACCGTACTGGTATAATTATCAGCGTTAGGTATAAAACTAACTTTAGGTTGGTATTAGTTATAAGTAAAACTAACTTTAGGTTAGTATTAGTTATACGTTAATTTATAACGAACTGACAGTGCCGTACATCAATATTATTACTGAATTACAGAATGATTGTGATGAAATGTAGAAACTCAATTGAGGAACAGTATACGTCAACATTAGAATATTGTACTGCTGCATTTAATCATTTATGCTCTTCTAATTAACTGCGAAGAATGCTCATTCTATATTGTAAATCAGTGAAAATAATCACCACTCAAATACTAAATTGTTATCCAATACCATAAGCCGCTGATTGTACACACCCACCAACTATTAAGTGTTTTTTAAACACGAGAGAATTTTTCAACGCCGCTCAATTCCACCAATAAAAACAAATCTCAAATTCTGGTAACATCATACAACGCCGGGTATCGTGGCTATTATTAGCTTAGCTCAGGATCTATCGTATATTTCTTTATGTTTATTTGAGACTGATAACACCAGGCACCTTAAGTGTATAGCGGCCATGAGGCTATACATGATTCATGGTGACGATTATCGAGGACCGGTCGATTTATTCTTAAGTAATTTGTTTTCTAAATTTCTGTTTGTTCCGTATCGTGTATTTTAAATAAACGACTTTTTTTAACTTACCGACCGGTTAGGAACGGCTGATGCAACATTTTCGAGTAAAAATTTTGACATTTTACTAAAAAGTTTAGTGCTTTGAATGTTTTTTGGTCCAAATTGTTGGCAAAGTTTTTAGCCAGCCCCGAGAATGAGAGCTTCGTTCACGGCTACCATTGCCTCGGGTCTCGATAATATGGCGCAGTCAGATGAACAATTGCTTTATCGCCATTTGGACATAATTTTTTTTAACATCAGTTTCCTTTCTTTTGACCTTCCGGCTTCGAGTCTACGAAAAATCCACCCATGCTATGTACATGGGAAGCGTGCTACGCTGGACTGGAGTTTTGTATATGATAGCGATTGCTATGCCCTAAATAGCCTCAATATACAAGTATATTTGTGGCAATCGGAAGAAAATTTCTTTCTAAACCGATTCGTGGTCCTTCCAAAACGATAGCGACTCATAACTCGAGAACTAATGTTCTGCACTTAAAATTATCAACTGTTGCATGCTCTTCCGCAACAGTGTATCTAATTTTAATAGACAGCGATAACACAGCAGAAAAAATTTCTAACGGAAAAATAGCATGGCATTGCAAAATTGAGGAGAGTTTTATAAAAGTAGAAAATATGATGTATGAATTGATAAGAGTTCATTTGATAAATAAATGAAAAAATATAACTCAGTACTCACTGCAGTGAGTGACAGAGAGCGCATTTTCTCGTCGACGAAAACGTGGTCACGGACGGACGGACAGACATGACGAGCACAATAGCGCCTTTTTTCAATAAATGAGAAAATGCGCTAAATTTAAAGCTTCCTTCATGGTTCACAACAGAGTATTATCCCAACCGTTGATAGAGCAAGACCTTTTCAAATTTATTTCAAATTGGCGAATATTATAAATAGGATTAGGGAACACAGGGCTGTCTCTCACGATCTTGTGTCTAGACTGACCAGATGATACTCGATATCCTCCTCAATAGGGTCAGCTTGTGTGTTTGAAGCCTGTGTTTTTTGTGATGTCAGCTTGTGTGTTTTTTAGTTTTTTGCCAGCATGAGTCGCTACCACGTTTACAGCCCTGTTGATTTTATTGATACATAGTGATGAGTTTATTTAAAGCTAACCCAATAAGAAGAAATATTCACGCATTATATCTTCGTAAATTTTGTATTCACTAATTTTACATACTTCAAACATTACTTATGTATTATGCCTCTCAATAAGTATGTAGGTATTGCTGTAGCATTTTTCTTCTACAGAATTAAATATGCGTAATGTTCCACATCGTCCTAACCAGTGCAGGAGTTCATGGAAATCGAAATTCAGATTTAAATTGACTAAGACCTGGCGTGAATTTTGTTCATATTCGAAAAGTACAATGAAAAAATACTTTTCATACAACGGAATTAAAGTAAGTTTACAACCGGAAAATGTAGGGTTAAAACACAGGGTCAATATACAGATGAATAATATTCAACAATCACACAATAATATGCATGAGTAAATGGGACATAAAGGCAAAGAATACATCAGCCGAGACAAGGAAATTTTCATGGAGCTAATTAATTTGTGGAAGTTGTAGCTATATATGAAGCATAATTTCTATTTACAGTGTGCAAAAATAAACTTTTTAGGCGCAATATTGCAAAGACGAAAAAAAACTTGTGCGATGAGATTCGAAGGTGCATTATTGTAAAATTTTCATTAACCGTTCTTAAACCCGAGACCTGCATCAGCTCCAAACTAATCCCGAAATATCAGACTTATTGAGAACCAAACTCTTGAAACTTAATCGATTAAGAATCATCATAAGGTAGTTCGTAAAGAAATGCCTTAAATAAATTGTAACTACTCATATTACAAAATTTTCCATTACACTACATATTTTGGTTGTACAACAATTTTATTGAGTAGAATGTCCTCAATCATGAAGAATATTATTGCATTTATTTCCACACCCAATAATCCACGTGTTTTTTTCTGTCTATTTCATGATAACTATTACCTTTTTAACCTGCTGTATGGTTCTGTCAGTCATCCAAAAAAACTTTTTGTTGCTGTTTTTTATTCAACTTTTATCTAATAATAATTCAGCCAGCCTACTGAATTTAATGAGTAGAGTCCAACCCAGCAGCTGTATTACAGTGCGCTACGCTATGCTCCGTAGGTACACGCTTCTTCAACGCATGCTTTGACATATCACCCGCGAATAGGTAGATCGGTATCTAAAGTCAAGTAGATCGGTATCTAAAGTCGAGTAGATCGGTATCTTAAGTCAAATAGATTGTATTCTACATCAGGTAAATCGGTACCCTCCGTAAGGTAGTCTGGTACCATATGTCAACTATATTAGTATTCTTAGTCTGGTAAATTGGTATCCTACGACAGGTAAATTGGCATTCTATATCAAGTAGATTGATATTCAACGTCAGGCTTATTGGTTTTGGTATACCATGAGAAGGCCTTACTATAATCCATCAATAATTAGACGCAATTGTCGTCAACTCATGTTACATGGAACAGCGACACGCATAAACTAGTAAGTTGATCGCTGAATAGAGCAAACAAATCGATAATTTTGCTATCCGGGTTCGTGTAAACATTTGGCCTGTACATTTATAAGTTGACAATGAGGGTTTAAGCCATTATTAATAAAGTCTGTCTACAAGGTTGGTTTAACCCTCCGCAATAAATACTATATAATGAAGTGAATGCCTAGCTAGCAAACTAGATAATAGACTTAACGAGCTACTCGATTATATCGTAGACTATGACATTGATTACGAGTTTGCAAACATGAATATAAAACATGTCAACTGAAGCTCCATGTTTACTGAACATTTTTAGGAGAGTCACTCTGAAGCAATACCTTAATGAGTACAGATATCATTGCATCTCTCAGTTAAGCCAGAAAGCTAGACATGAATAAGAGTAGCACGGGTGAAAGTAAGTACCGCGAGCAATCATGCAGCTGGCAAAAATATGGTTTATAATGATGTCACACAGATCCCGAGTTGTCCGCTTCCTAAACGCTATGCTCTGCATGGGCCCAAACCCTTGACGTTGAGGTCGAGCTGGCACATGCAGAGTGGTACGCGGCTTCTTCGCTAAGTCGAAGAAGTTTTATGCGAACTTTTTCACTACAGTGCAACAACCAAAGCTTTTAATATGTGTAAGCCAACTTAATGTGGAGCAGCTTTGTAAGCCAATTACAAACTGCACGCTCATGTTCGCCTTAATAAGCGTGCATTTTCCTGCAGGGTAATGACATCAGAGATTTGTGATGTGTTGGCACTTAGTAACTTTTCGAGTCCGGTGATGATTGAAAGTCCGCAAATCAAATGGTTTGCTACGTGATTGGAATGAAATTTGAATAGGATGAAAGTTATCAATATTTTCATGCATCACAGTCCAATATTCTAGTGAGCAAGGAACCTCCACGTGATGTGAGCCTCAGTTTAAACTTAAGGCCTGGTGTGTCAAGAAAAACGATAATTTAACGACTAATAAATGGAACTTCCTCACTTCATTACAATCGTAACATTAATGACACATCGCTCAATTTTAGGATTGTTACGGTTTCCAGTACAAAACCCAGTAGTCAATCATATCATTCATCGTCTCGTCCAGCCGAGAGAATCTAAATAAACTTGGGGAAAAGTGCTCGGCACACGGATAACAATGGAAAAATGTACAATAAAGACCTTAAATAAATAATAATAAAGAGCATCTCCAACAGGTTCATCTGCGCCGTGCTCTTGATTTAGAACCCTGCTGGGAGAAATAAAACCTTTTTCATCGAATAAAATTAAAGAATCGTGTCAAAATGTGCTTCTTCAGGAACAGCACAACGGCGCTCTACAAACATGCGAGACTTGAAGGTAATTCCGATCAGCAAAGTAAAAAAGATATTCAAACTAAATTTCCTTGCTGTTGGTCACTAATATATAAATATATACTTTGGATAATTCATACATTAAAATTTAATTTTTTGTGAGATTTAATGCATTAGAAAAAATGGTGGCTCAATCGAAATAAAAGAAAATAAATAAACAGATATCGAATCAATTGAACGTCAGATTAGACCCGTAGCATCTAATCGTTCTTAATTTATCACAGAGATATTGAAAAAAGTCAGCTTATTCATAATTTCAAACATTGAGTCACTAACCGGTTATTTCTCAATAAAAACTGGAAAATAAAATTTATAAAAAGCAAACGCAATATAATGATTTTCTAGTCCATTTATAACTGCTCCAATAAAAAATTAATTTTCAAATAACGTGTAATTAAACAGACCCTGTTCACGTAGAATGTGGAATAAACTGCATTTAAAATTGGCACTTTAGCAAAGGCTACCGCTTGACCATATTAGAAGCCAACATCATTGTTTGATGCCAATTAAAACAGTTCTGATTATTATTTCCATTTACTTGCTTCTCCTCAAAATATTTAACATTAATAGGGTTGATAAAATACTTATGACTCACTGGTTACACAAAGAAAACTAAAATGTAAGCATTTACTCGTTGAATTCACAATTATAATTCTTCACAACGCTAATATTATCCTCAACTACATAAACTAATAAGAACTATATCCTTCAGAAGGCCATTTTAACCGAAACTTACCAAACATCGATTATGGATTATTTCTCATACTTGGAGGAAAGCTAGAACTTCTAACTTGAATATTGTCAAGGTTCAGTTGCTTAACTTTGAAAAGATCAATTCACTGTAATTTCAATTTTTTTTATGTCGGAAAACCTGGCATTTGGTCGTTTCACGTGGGAAAAATTAAACAGTATTATATATTCACACATATTGTGTCCTGTGTCAATAGTTTGTGCTGAAAAATTCAAGAAATAGGGCACAAATTAAAGAGATTGGGCACAAATTCAAGAGATAGTGCACAAATTAATGAGATAGGGCAAAAATTCAAGAGATGGGGCACAAATTCAAGAGATAAGGCAAAAATTCAAGAGATAGGGCACAAATTAAAAAGAAAGGGAACAAATTCAAGAGATAGGACACAAATTCAAGAGATAGGTCACAAATTCAAGAGATAGGACACAAATTCAAGAGATAATGCACAAATTCAAGAGATAGGGCACAAATTCAAGAGATTGTGCACAAAGTCAAGAGATTGCGCACAAAGTCAAGAGATAGGTTACAAATTCAAAGGGTAGGGCGTTATATGTAAAAGAAATTCGACGAATTTGGGTGCAAGAAAGATCGAATGATGGAATTTAGGATTGATGGTTCAACCGAGTAGTAGAGGAGGTAAATGGGTTTGCGAAAAACACGTATTTGATGAGGTAATTTGTGAGAGCTATCTAACTATTTCATTCTTGTTCGCCGCATTATTTCAATTAAAGTTAGAATTTTTCGCAGGAAATTGCTGCATATTCTCATGATTACCAAGCAAATAGGGAGAGCGCTATTTGTTTGAATGAAGTCAAGAGAAATGTATGAAGTATTGAAGGTTTCTCTCTTCCTTTGAGATTATTCGCAGAAATTTCAGTCGGATTCTCATTTTCAATTCCACGAAAACTTTTTCTAGTAAATTCCGGAAAGCCTTAAAACAAAGTCCTATCACAGATTAAATAAAATTTTTATCGTTAAACATTTTCCTCCTAATGAGTTCTCAGCGATGAAATATACCAATATAATCACAAATTACGTTCATAGAACACGGATGCAAATAACAGTTCAGTACATCAGAGCTGCTCTACATTTTTCGACCGATAGATTGCACAGCGGGGCGACGCCGGTCCGCCAGTCTCACGCTGCATCCGGATTTCGTTTCAAGCGAGTGTCACATCAGCAGATCACGACTTACTTCGGGGCTCTAGCGAAGGGGAAAAGTGGATAATTAAATTAATTCATGGCAATTATCATTAAGCGTAAACTCAATAACTCATTCATACTATTCAACGGGTGTGCAGTGCAAAATTTTATTCTCCGCCAGTCGTCAGCCAGTGATGCATTCACTCTCTTACATCATCTCACAGGATATAAATACCACAACCATTCATCGGCAATTATTCTTCCATCATCAGTTTGTTTCAGCTAATCAAATATTTAATAAGTGTAGGTACAAAGAAACTTCTTACCCGTCGGGCATGCGAACCTAATATTCCTTATCTTTAACCACTAGTAGAATTCTTTTTTATAAAAATATCAGGACATTCAATTTATTTTACTGTAAAAAGATTAATAGGTTTCGAAATACATTGGCAATCAATAGAGAAATATAAATCAAAAGAGAATACTAGGCGTGAAGTAACACCGATGCAAGGTCAGAGTCGCTACATGCGTTGAAAAATACAAGCAAATGAGGCTAGAAACTCACACGTGCATTCAGCTGTAGCTAAGGACACGCACAAGAACTTATATAAGGGGCTCACTCTCTGAGCTTGTGCCACTCTGCAATTTGTCGTCGCGGCGACGTGATGACTTCCGCCCAATGGTGCTTAGCTGAGCCCACGCATCGCGGCCCCCCTAGCTCCAGACGACCAATAACCTGCAGCATCGGGGAACGAATGAATTATTTAAGTTTTTGGATCGAGGGACACCTGACGCAAGACATTTCAATTACTACAACAAATTAAATTTTCCTGATAGCAGTAAAAAGTGAATGAAAAATATGCAGCGACTGCAATCGGACGGAAGTGAAAAATCGCGTTACAAACCGGTTATTTTATACGAAAATCTTTGACTGAACTACTTTTTGAACCTCACTTCTGAACCTTTAGAATTTAGATTGTCAACTTAATCTCGGCAACCATGAGCATCTCATTTTACATGAAAACGAATAGCAATCAATTCAATAATATCATGGATTATTAGCACGCATGCTGAATATTTACAAACAAAATAATATACCGCACCTACAATTCAATAACTCAACACAGTGTGTTTTTTGTAATAGCACTGTTGACAAAACTCAAAAATTTACCGCGAATCATCAGCATCTCATTTGGCTCGAGCAACAAAACCATGTGATCAACATTAGAACAGTCACAGAACACAGCATTTCACCCGCATGGCGCGTTTGCAGAGCTTGAATATCACTGGACTCACCTCATTCTTAGTCACGCGGTCCCAGTCGAGGAGGAGGAAGTCCAAACTGACGTTGCTGAGGTCTTCAGCTCCCGAAGGAAGGTCGAACACAAATGATTCATTGAAGACGGGATTGACAGTCCGTTTCTTGACGTGAGTTTTTTTCTTTGCCACTCGCTGTCCATTATACAGCAGGTATATTTTCACATAAGGGTCTGAAACAACATACAGTACACTGTAAATATACCAAGCATCAATCAGTTCACAAATTAAATTAGAAGAGACGCGGGTAATCAAGCAGCGCTGTGTGCTGAAAGTGGGGATCGAAACTCGCTCATTATGAGCAGAAATATCAATTAAGTCGCGACAATTACATTATAATTCATGTATGGCGAATCAAGCAGTTACAACTGAAACCAGGATAGCTGCTCATACATCGACGAAAGTCACTTTTAACGGATTCCATTTCATGGCGCTGCTCATCAAGTCCATCACAGGAGTTCCTCAATGTCATGGCTCACTGCTCAATTCCCAACAGAAGCATGATGAGCTGCTAACGGGCGGTCCTACAGCAGAAGACACATCGCTTAATTCACTCACTGGATCGCCATTCTTACTCTTGAACCACCGGCGACGACGGCCGGATTTTTCACCTTGTAGCAGGTATCGCTGAATACTGTAACTGCTAGTGCAAGGTAATCATGTAGTATCGAAGAGTGGGGCTGTCAATGTGGGATATTACATGAACATTTTATCATAAATGACTAGGAGCAGCGTCATTATATTGATATGTTTCTCCGGTAGCACAAAGATAACTCGTGTTTGTCTTGTAATACAAATTTATTGAGAACTGACATGTTCGAAGCAATAAATGGCATTGACATACCTTGAGGTCATAAATGGTTCCGATGAAATGTTCAATGCAACCATCCGTGCGAAATTTAGATGAACTTTAAGTTAAACAAAAATTTATGACCACATCATTTGGACAAGTTTTGGCAAAATAGTTTCGACATCTATATTCTGACATCATCGTTTCAACAAATATTGATTTGAAAATTACTGACTGTCCATCGTTAGGAAAATTCCAAACCTTGCTCTTTGTCTGTTGGACAAACTGATCATGGACTATTTCTGAAATCTCTCCGGGCAGGAATTTTACGTATTCAGGGCAAATAGCAGAACAATATTGGGCGCAAAAACAAATACAAATATTGCGTTATTTCCATCTTCGCAGTTATTTTAGATAAAATCATATTTTCTTCGAAACGATAGATATTCTTTGCGATTCGTTCGAATGGAGATCTGTTTTTTTTTGTGCAACTCATCGCAAACCAAGCTATTCAAACCAAGTCATGCTTTTTGCGTTCCTAAACATGTCACTCGCCACCTTGACTGAATATTAAAGTTCAATTTAGGCAGTTAGGTGCTAACTCAGTTCCTTACGTAATGGTCATCTCTTGCAAAGGATAATATGGCTAAATGTCTCCTTTGAATACGTCATTGCTTACCTGAAAGTTTCCTTCCTTTGCCAACGCGTGAGCTGATACTCAGATATAATGCTTGATTTTATTCTCTTTTACTTACATTATTTCGATTAATCTATTTCGATAATATTTTCGTCTACACTGAAACCTCCTCAAGGTGCTTCTTTTACATTTCGTTATCAGGCTTGGAGATTCTGTCGCGAGAAGCAATCTATCGTTAACCTCACAGCTCAATCAAGAAATACGAGTATATACCACCCAGCTCTCGAACATCTGTTTGCGAGCCTGACAGTGCGTAATTGGGTTTAATAACAAACAATTTCAAGCAAGATATGTGGCAGGTTCCGCAAAAATTTCCATCGTCGATGACTGTCAACTGTTTATTTCGTAGAGGAATGCCAATCTTTATTAATTGTTAGCTAACCGAAAGTTGAGCCGTGACGTTCCATAACTAAGAACTTCAAGCACACGCCAGAACGGGCAATGCTATGAAATTTCTATCTTGTCCATCATAGACAACAGTTAAACAAAATCACTGATTGAGGAATGACTTGAGGACTGACTTAAGGAATTCCGATATTTATGAAGTGTCCGCTAACCTGACAGTCCAGTGATGTCCATCTTTGGCAAGTTCCTGGCCTTGAGGACGACGACAGTGAGGCGGGTAGCCGCCGGCTGGTAGCACAGCGACAAGAGCAGCTCCCCGCGACCCTGTGAACGGATCTGCGGGTAACGGACGACGATGTTCAAAACTATAGCACTTGCTTCTTTTTCCTCCTCGAAAAAAATGTTGAACCGTTTCTGCAAAACTCAATGGTTCGGTAAAATTTTTTACTGATATTAATTCTTAATTAAATTGCCTCGGACTTCGATCAGATAACATCAACTGGTACTTTGAAGTCAAAATTTCGCAGAAACTTTCAAAAGTATTTTCGACTTCGGCATCTCCAAAACTTGCGGAAATCTGGGGAATGGATTCAGCGCTAACTAATTGTACTCCCCAAACTATTTTTCAAAAAGGTTCAGCTTTATAACCGCTATATAATGTATTCAAAAAAGTGAGCTAAACTAGATCTGACAAGGCAACTCTAAACTCACATAAAAAGTACGTGTAAATAAATATCAGAAGCTGTTAGGTAACAAAATATTCATGAAGCTGCGGGCAGGTAGCATGCATTCTAAATTGAAATAAATTTGTCCAGGGTTTTGAAAAATGTTCCATTTCAATAAAGCGCAAATGTATTAAGCGACAAAATAGGAGAGAAAAAACTATATGGAGTCTTCTCGAGACAACTCAAAACTGGCAGCATTGCCAATGTATCACCAGCAGCTGAAACAAGTCTTCGATTATATGGAAGATAATTAGCAAAAATTTATTTATTTTATCTCCTGACGTGTGGAGAAAACCATTTTTTAATAACATTAACAATTACATAGAAATTTTATTGGTCTGTAAACACGGTAAGAACCTGAGTCATGAATGAGCCAACGAGCTGATGCATGTGTCATACGGAAATGGAAAAACAATATGAATAAAACTAAAATAGCTCACATGGCTTGTAAAAAAAAACAAGATATTTGGGTGTTCCCAAGCATAAAAATTCTTACGTTTACAATTTAAATTTTATACCGAAATTTCTTTGAAAATCATTGGGCGTGCTTGATGATGAGGGTTTTGTTAGTGTCTACAGTATCGCAAAATTTTCCGCTGACAAAATCGTTATTCAACGTCATTACATTTTATTAATTGCCAGTGGAATTTATAGAGCAGTGATTTAATGAATATTATTGAATAGAGATCGCAAGCGTGTAGTTTTTAGAGAGTGTCGCAGAGTATCGTTACAGATACGACTAATGGGCATTTAATGTCGATTTCGTAACTCGCACCATATTCAAGTATGAACAGAAACTTAATGGTTACTCTAATCTAAGTGTCTATAAGTTAGGCGGGATCAAAATAACAGTTCGCGGCAATCAAAAAATACGTACTAGAGATTTATGACATTCATGATGTGTTGAATAATGACCGTCTAGATTAGGAAACTAAGCACTATCATGACACTACGGCAGTAGGCTATTCATTCCGCTAGAGGTAAATTTTTAAATGGGATGGAAAATACTAACCTTTGTTTTCCAGTATGCAACAAAAAAATCATTCAAGCAAGCTTCAGCTGATCCGGCTTCCTTTTTTCGGAGCTTTTCACATTACATTATTATAGACGGGAATAAAGTAAAGGTTCTCCATGTTGCATTTTGATTTAATAATTTTCCTTGAGCTAGAACTTTATCAATAATTGATTATATGTAAAGCAGTCATTCTTGCATTAATATGACACTTAAATCGCTTTTCACTTGTCCTTACTCGATTTTGGTACATAGGCCAGTAATATTAACTTTTAATTCATGCAGTGACAATAATAAGTTCCAGGGATAATGAAGCACCATTCGATAACCCACAATTTGATTGCTGTTGCTTGTGATGAAACTGAAAACTGAAAAACCTCGTTTGAAGTTTGACCGGATCACTTCATCTTCCATCTCCATCATCTTCACCGATACCCAATGCGATATATTCGTCAGCTGTCACTCAAAATTAATAAGTGAAACCCTCTTGTTCACCCAACAAGGCATGATGTTATTCAATCCTAACCTTCATGGAGCGAGGGTTGATGGGGCGGTAGAGGGTCAGTGGCTCCCTCAGGTCGATGGATGCAAGAGGCGTGACGACTTCTCCGATGATGTCATCTCGAGAGTAGCGGTCGAAGCTGAGCACCACGAAATGAAGAGTCAGGTCCTGGAAAAGGTGCAACCGGAAATTTGGCGATGGGTAAATGCAATCATTGTTCATACTTTATTCTACATGCAAGCGCAAAACCATTAGACAGGCAAAATTTTCTCTCTGACCTATTTACTTTGTGGCGGCGGTATAGGCCATGTTAAAAGATCTTCAGCTACGGTTGACCAATGAACAAATCAAAGTAGGACCGTTAATTGACCACACTGGGACTTATCATAGAACGATTCCTCGTTACTGAGTGGTAGAATGAATGAAAAATTGCCTTCGCAAAATTTAATTGCTTGAAATGAAGATGGTATTTTTTTGTGAAAAATTCCTCATTCCTCATTGATTATTAGATTAAAATTTTTGTTAAATCCGCTTCACTCAATTCATACGAAAAATAAGTAGTAATTTGAAGTCAGGGGTAGCGGAGATATAAGAGTAATCGAATAGAAGAAGCTACTTGACAGTGTTTCAACCTACGTGTGTTTCAAGCTTTCACTCGTTTCATTAGAGATTGCCGTTACAAAGCAGTGCGGCAACTGTTCATCACATAAACGTCAAGTATTTCTAATACCTTCCTATCAATCTGTTCCACTATTTTTTGGTTTGAATGAATGCCGTTTTAGTTTATTTAGTTTTGTTTAATTTTTGCTTCGTTAAATACATTTATTAAATCTTGTGGGAAGATGGACTTACTTTAAGGCTTATTAAATTCAAATTATAATTTAATTCAAATTTAATGCTTGCAATTAACCAAATGTATTCAATAAATTAATTTCTATTTAGTGCTCTTCGCTCTGAAAGTGCGGTATATAATTACTATATATCAAAAGGATCATTACCACTAGTACGTAATTTCAAGTCTTTCTCTCAATTTCTAAAGCAGCAAAAACTTTTATTCTTTTGATTTTTCGCGCCTAATTTCCCACCCCTTAAACTGATTTTCACTAATTTCCTACAAATTATCATGCATGAAAACCGTGTCCTACCACACTGCGCAATTAAACCACAGGTTCCTGTATTTTTACTTGAACCTTCTCGGGTATTTGCTGTCTAACATTTCATAATTTACCCCATGCTTTATTTAACTGACTGTTCTTAAATTATTTTCTTTTTCTACAGTATCCTGTTATCCTGCTCAGTATACCGGCCATCTCACTATCTTTATTTCTACGTCATCCTTAGGTCAGCCAGAATTATCTGGACGAGATATCAACCATCAACCTGCAACCTTTTGAGAAGTTATCTGTGCATTCTAATCAGGCTTCGGCTGTTGAAACGGATTTATTTTCACCCGTTAAAATTATTTTAATCGGCATTTGAAACACATTGCAGCTTTCTGTGATCAAATTCCGAAATTTTGTTTATTTAAATAAAAATAAAAGTGACCCTTGAATTTTCATATCTCTGGACTCAGAGACCTTTTGATTTTGTAATATCATCACGCATTAACTATACTAGGCATCAGAGTTGTTATTCACCGTTACTATATAGGGGTCCAATAAACACAAGTGTGCAGCCCTTGTTCGTACCTTGAGTTCAATGCCAGAATAAAAATCTATCAAAAAATATAACTTAATACTCACTGCAGTGAGTGACAGAGAGCGCATTTTTTCGTCGACTTAAACATGAAGTCACGGACAGACGGACGGACAGACAGACAAACATGACGAGCGCAATAGTTCCTTTTTAGTGCACTTTCTAATTTATGGAAAAAATGCACTATTGTGCTCGTCATGTCCGTCCGTGACTTCACGTTGTCGTCGACGAGAAAATGCGCTCTCTGTCACTCACTGCATTGAGTACTGAGTTATATTTTTAGCGCATTTTCTCATTTATGGAAAAAAGACGCTATTGTGTTCGTCATATCCGTCTGTCTGTCTGTCTGTCTGTCCGTCCATCTGTCCGTGGCCTCACTTTTTCGTCGACGAAAAAATGCGCTCTCTGTCACTAACTGCTGTGAGTACTGAGTTATATTTTTCCATAAATGAGAAAATGCGCTAAAAAGGGCACTCATCGTAATACGCAGGCCTTGCAAGCCAAATTAACGTACCTTGAGGTGACTAGCAGAGATGCCGTAGAAGGTGAACTCCTCGTCGTAGACCGGCTGCAGGGTGTTGCGTAGAACGCGGGTCTTTGCCTTGTGGTGCTTGTCGGGCAGAAGCTGCAGTTTAACGTACGGATCGCTGGTCGAGTGACTGCCTTCCGACTGAGGCAAGTCTGTACACTTCACGATAGTGACGATGAGCGCGCCGTTGTCGCTCTTGTACCTGCCATGGAAATGCATGCATGAACTTATAAATCTTTTCCGCGGATATAAGCGGTTGTTCAAAAACAGTTCAATCAGAAAAATTTCAATTTATGTTTTCCTGACATGTTATGTTCTTGTTATATATTTTTAGATCCAGCCGATCGAATCCTGTCGACAAAATGTTTACTTGAAGTGGAATTCATTGGTTATATCCAGTTTAACGTTTTATATCTTCCATATTGGTGATTCTTTGAATCACCTATATATAATCACCTCACCTATTCTTTGCAGGATGCATATTTTAAGTAAAAAAATAACACATATTGCACTTTGGATGACTACGTTTCGCGTCTACAAAACATCGTGTCTCCCTTACCTACATAGCACAGCAAGGGCCTCATTCATTAATTGGTAAGCAATTCCCTACAACAGCCCGTACGGTGGACGTCGCCTCCCAGCCGCTAATTAATGCATACATCGATTTTATACAGCAACGTGAGCTAACGGTAACATTGCAGACGCTGCGTTTGCTTGAAGCAGATTTTGCCGTCTGGATTATACTGGGTTACAATGCGTTATAAAACACCATTGCTGATTACGGAATTTTACAATCAATCGAATGCTCGGTAATAATTTATTATAAATTTAGTTTCATGCCAATGGCAAATTTCCTTTTGAATTGCTAATTTTATGAACTAATCCGCACCTTCCTGTAGAGTTTAGAATAGAATTAGCGATTGACTAGGCCGCTATATATGTAAGAGATGCCAACTTTGTTTTATCCCTGAGAACGTAATAGATTTGCTGCGTGTTTCGGACTCTTTTACCAACTGATTAGCTATATTACAGTGAACTTTGTCATATTCAATCTACGAGATGCAGTGACTGTTCAAATAAATAGCGTTTACTACTATCGGCAACTTTCACGGATAAACCATCATTTGATTGGTGAAATATATCACAGATAAAGATAGAGCTAAATAGAGAAAGTGTCTTTAATAGATGTAGAGTTCAAGTAGACGCGCACCATACGCAAATTTCAATTTTTAAAATTTAATCTTGTTTTAGGGGCAGCAGTTCCTAAAATAGTGAGCAGCTCCTGCTCGTCATTCTGAGCTCATGCTTCTCCTTGAATTTCAATGAGCTGGACACCGCGTTCACCCCAAGCTTCTGTCGCAGTTTCCTCACAACACCCATCGATAATTTTTTCCTCAGGTAATTGAAATACCACAAAATGTTAGTTTTTAACCAAGTATAACTATATATACACTGAATAAATTTATTTACGTTGAACAAATGTTGCTCGTAATGCAGAGAATGTTTCTCCAGCAGCGAGAACGCACGCCGAGCGGCATAGGTCACCAGGTCACGGACCTAAAAGCTTTCTGTTGTAGCTCCAGAGAATATCCTCACCGAGCCAAAATAGCATAATTCAAGCTCATCACGAACGCATCCGGAAAGAATGAACTAAAGAATTCGAATTTTGTATATCTTAGGTTCAGTTCAGGCCGAGGTCATGTGAAAACTGACGTGGTTTTTGACAAAGCCATTTCGAGGTGATCTGTTTCCTCCTCGGTTCTATATAATTTTGGATTTCTCGACTTTATTCGACCTAAAATATTTAGAGCAACGATGATGCGCACTTTTGCCATAGTACTAGTTTCCATCAGGGTGTATGATAAAATGGTTGTTTCAAATTTAATGTTAACTTTATTTCATTGAATTTTCAGCGACAGAAGAATTGAGTACAGGTAAGCTTCATCAATAAGAATGGCAGTGTGCTTCGAAGTTTTCCGCATCCGATCTGCTTCTTTTCCTCGCTTTTATCCTCTTTACTATACGGAGCATCTCAATAATTTTTAATTAATAATGTAATTTCTACTAAACTTTATCGATAATTCCCTTCACTAATTTGCATAAGCTGAAGCAGACATTAAATGAAATCATATGTGTTAGGCTTAACATACGTTGTATTGTACAACTCGGTTGACAACCGCAATGTAAACAGAACCATGATATCTACCTATGTTTGAATTAGAAGTTTATATATATAATTGTAATATAATATTTCTCATCATCATCAAAACATCCTGATTTTGGAGAAGAGAGTTGGTAACATAAAATTTAAACATCATCACACCTACCCAAGTTTGAAATATGACCGCTAGTAACATAATATTCCCCATCATCACGCCTACCTAAGTTTGAAGTAGAGGTTAGTAACATAATATTCCCCATCATCACGCCTACCTAAGTTTGAAGTAGAGGTTAGTAACATAAAATTCCCTATCATCACACCTACCCAAGTTTGAAGTAGAGGTTAGTAACATATGATAACATCATCACGCCTACCTAAGTTTGAAGTAGAGCTGTCCGAGGCGTTCCAAAGAGTCGTTCCTCTTGATGTTCCTGTTGTTGAGCTCAGCTTCACTTGAGGTCGGCGACACAGGCTTGGCGCTCTCGTTCTCAACCTGAACTCGGGTGCCCATGAATGTTTTCTCCTGCTGGGGGGAAAGAGACTTCCCAGGGACACTGCCGAGGTCCTGGCGCTTCTGTATAAACAAATTAGTACGTTTTTTGTGCTAATTTTCCAAACTTACGTTTGGAAAGCAGGACATTTTAGCATGTTCTTGCGGCTGATAGAATTGTAAAAACATATAAAGAGTAATAACGAGCAATGCGCTTTTTTTTTTGTTAAAAGAACTGCATTCGAAAATATTTGATTTTGCATAAACATATATCAGCCTAAAAATGTACAAATATCTTAATTTATGTGATGAACCAGATAATTTAAATATAAATAATTAGTAACTTTCATGCTGCGATCATGGGACGAAGTCGTATACTGATTTGCACAGAAGTAATTAAATTTTTCCGAAATAATTAATTCGGTACATTCGGAACATTACGTTTCATGTTCTATTATCAAACAAAACTCTAGCCTAATTTAGAAAATATAATTTTAGGACCAATGAAAAGCCCATCTGAGGGATTGACGTCAAAATTCTTAAAAAACTTTAATTTACTCTAAACCAATAAATTGGATTGCCTTTTTCTAATTCTGATTTTGCCTCGGAATAATGGATGCTGATTTTACCATCAAGTGCAGAATTTCGAATGAAACGTGTTCTTCAAACTACGCCTCCGCCATTCCTAATTTATTTCTCATGTTTTATTCTAACCCAGCTATACCCGTATAGCTGAGTTAGAATTTAAAAATTCCCGTATTAAACAATTTTTTTACTATAACGTCTCAAACTTCTCGGATGAATATGATCATTATGTGAGCTTTAAAGAAATAGGATGACGTAGGTATATGAGATCAACTATCACCTCTTCGGTAGGGGAGAGAAGTTTCGGCGTCGCGTTGCGAAGACCCATAAAACTGGAGTTCTTGCCGTCGACGTGAGCCCCAGGACTTGTTACTCCGTTTGGAGATTTTTCTGCTCAAAGAAAATAGCATTCCAATGAGGAACAATACTTCAAGCTTAAAGTTGTTAATAAATTCTATGGGGTGCTTCAAAATTTTCAAGTGGGAGATACGTATGTACATTGTAAGCTCAATTCAAATGCTGTTCAGCAGAGCAGCTAATTGCGCTAAGCAACCTTAAGAGAGAACGTTAAACCTCTATCAATACAGAATACACAGTTCATAATTTATGTGGAATTGTTCGATCATGTTGTGGAATTGTGTAAATATACATGATCGAGAAACAATATTGTAAACGTGTTTATTCATTTTTATATATTTTTAGGTATTTTACTCCTTAAATAAAATTTGGAAATCCTTTTCTTTTAACCAAAATACATGTTTTTTATTGGTATCTCTAGGCCACCAATATATTAGGCTGGTTTCCAGTCTTTTCCATTTTCCGAGTTCAATTTAATTCCTCGAACTCAGAACAAAGTCATTTTAATACCGAAGTGCAATCCTGACAAAGTGAGGGGGGCTCAATAGAGCTCAGACTGGAAGTAAGTGTTTGGCTTGCGGTTCAAATTTCACAGCTCGGTTACACAATGCGCCGAAGAGAAAAAACCCTCGCGTGTTCAACTGAACGTTAGAGACAAACGTTTTAAATGTAGATTGAATTGACGTAAAATGAAAGCGCGTGTTTTAAAATAGCTCTGTACACGAAAACACAGCGTGGGGCAGAACCGATTGGGCAGTTTTGAGGCAAAATAAAAGAGAAATGGAGGTACATGACGATGGAAGATTATTTTCCTCGAGGTTAGCATAACATACCATATAGAATACTTAGATTTTGAAAACAATATCAGGAAGATGGCGGCCGTCAGCTGAAACACACTGTTGGAGTCGTTCTCGGAGGAGGGAGTAACCGTAACAGTGAATTCCGAACGCTATGCTGCAATGTTGCAAAATTTCTTGCAGCCCATGAGGAAAAACATTGTTGAAAATGAAGCATTGGGAGACGTGTGGTTCCAGCAGGATGGGGCTACAGCTCACACAGCCCGAATGTCACTCAATGTTTTGAGACGGATGTTTTCTATACATCTGGTGTCCCTGCAAGGTGATTTACAGTGGCCTGCCAGGTCACCTGATTTGAGCATTTGCGATTTCTTTTTTTGGGGACATCTAAAAGAAAGGGTGTTCAGGAGTCGCCCTCACACCATGCATAGCACAGCTAAGGGAACCGATTATTGCCGTGGTTATGGCCATACCTCGCCATATGTGTGAACTTGCTGTAGGACACTTCCGAAAACGATTCCAACAGAGTGCTGCAGCTAGCAGCCACCATCTTCATCATATTATTTTCAAAACATACATAGGTATTCTAAATAGTATGTTATGCTAACCTCGAGGAAAATAAACTTTCTTCTTTATGTAACTTCATTACTCCTTTATTTCGCCTCAAAACTGCTCAATTTGTTCTGCCCCACCCTGTATTATTTGATTTTTAATTTTAAATATCGATACGATTTTTTTAGAGGTAAATTTTTACTGTTAACTAAATTTCTGTCAACACGTTCAGGTCACTGTTAATTCATTACTCTGATGATAGTCACTGAAATTTCCCTAAAGTTGAATTAACAGCTAAAATATTATTGAGGAATACATCCCAGAGGAGCAAAAATGTAGCTCAGCTACGATAGACTACGCCTTTATACGGTCTACGATAGACTACGCCTACGATAGACCGTGCCTTTGAACTTAATTCAGTTCAAAGGCACGGGATTTGGTCATACCAAGCCAATAACGGCCGTGACCCTGAAGTGCTGACGGTAAACGAATCTCTACCTGCAGAGATTCATCGGATAGGCCGCTTCGGTGCTTAACCAGTTAACGACTCGATAAACCACCCATAATGAAGTGACCCGAAGCTTACTGGTTAAACTTAGACGATTTTCACCAAAAACGTTTAGCTTCAATTTTGTTTCAATGTTTATAGAATTGGCTGAAGAAAAAATTACGTTCTATATCCAAGAAATATATCTCCAGCCACACATAAGCGATAACAAAATCTGCCAATATAGCACAAGCAATTTTATGAGGAAAAACTACAACAACAGGTGAAAATGTACAAATTTATGTGGAAGCGTGTAGACAATTTTTTCTTCTTGCACGATTTACTAATCCATTCGCCAATGCATCATAAATAAAAACAGAGATATTGCAGATCGTCCCGTGAATATTTGATACAATCTAAACTACCCTATGAGCTCTAAACAGATATGCGCTGTAGATAATTACGGTGTTTTAAATCATCAGCTATCTCTTTGTGTTTGGCGTAAAAATATGTTTATGTGCATCCTGCTAGCACTGCAGTGAGCATAATGTCAACATCTAAATCTACCTCGTGTGCAACTTGTACGTAAAATTAGTCAATCTAATTTTTTGAAGATAATTCATAATTTATTTTTTCTTTAAAAAGAATAATTTTGAGAACAAAAATTCAACCAAATACTTCATAATTATTCTGAATGACTTACTTATATTTTCAATGTGGATATTATATAAAAGTCTTCATCTCGAGTGTCCGATTAAGAGAACTGTGTATAAAGTGCATGAATTCTAACTGAATTTTGTCATCGTTGTTACAGAGTATGAATTAAAGAAGGTAATTCTCCTACATCAGATATGAACGTTTCCAAACTAACTTGCAGAAAATTATTGCATGTATTATTTTTTAAGACTCACAATTTCAAGTTTTCTGTAGTTTGAAGTGTGAGTGAGAAGTTGTGTCGTAAGTATGTAGAAAAAAAGCATGCCAAAAGTTAAATAGGACGGCTATGTCTCCTTAATTAGTTAGTTGTCAAGCGGCTACTCGTCACGCTATATGTTTTGTAGCGTCTTATCAAATATTCACATAACATCTCTGGCTATCAGGAGAAAGAACATGTTAAAAATATGAAACATTTTATTGTTATAAAGTTGTAATGTGAATGATATATTGAAACGATCAGCAAGCCATGTGATATTTAAAAAAAAATTATAATCCAGGTTCAAAAATTATTGTTGACGCAAATGCACAAGGCAATTTGCTGCTACGTTTTAATGCAAGTAAAATTTACCTTTGATTTCATTCCAGTTTATCAGATGAAATTTCTATGTTCAAGCAAGATTTGAAGATAATGTTAATACAATGTTTAGGTATAAAGACTACGCTTAAATTGAATGTACCCAATCTCAACGGGCTAGTATATTGGTTTCGGGATGTATAACCTATTTCCAAAATTTATTTTATTGTTCATTGCTATTTTTGGATCCATATTTTAATTCCATTAATTTCAAGAATCGAACGATAATACTGCATGTTTACACTAGTTTGGAATAGTAGCGCTTCTTCAAGAACAAATCAGACATAAGTAATAATTTGTTTCGAAAAAATGCTCTCAATTTCACTTGAAGATGCTTTAACAATAATTGAGTCAGTCCTGCTTGGAGTGTGGCAAATAAGTATTTCGTTTCGTACATTTGAAAGATTTTTCTTCACATTGCAAACATGTTATAAATGATTGTCCAATGTATGGCAACATATGTGTTCAGTTGTCCAGGTAAGAAATCTCACAGATTAGCATGACGTTACAGTAGACAAGTGCTCGCTGAACCATAAGGCTCTGGTCACATCTCGAAGAGAATACATGTGCTGGTGGTGTGATTTGCTTTTAAACAAATGTAGGTAATCATTGTGTAGCAATATAGATACAGTAGTAAAAATAATGGTAGTATTGATTAATATAGATACTACCATTACGAACTTTTTGAGCAACAACTATGCTTTTAATAAATATAATGAGGGCACATGAAGAGTTCACTATAAAAACACAAGGAAATCAGTTAATTTATATATGAAGCAAGTAGGCTCGTAGCTTAATTTCAGATCACCTTCCATATTGTAGTGAAGTGATATATTCTAATTTAAGGTTACCTGTTATGCCAAAGTTAGTGAGGTAAGACACACCACTCTTGAATGACATCACGGCGACAAATTGGACCATCAGGCTTATATTGTAGGGCCAGGTTCAAAATCCGTGCAATTCAGATAGACGGACATCACCCGGAGAGCTTGCAAGGTCACGCGAGCGCAACACGCAATTGCAATTTCACGCAACTTTTCACTCCATTTGTGCCTAATGTATTTCATTCTACCAAAATTGCAGGTTGCTGCCAATGTGTTTCTCTATATACTTTTAATAAATGTTAAGAAACGTTAACACAATGCTGCTGCTCTGCCATGAAGACATGTTAGCACAATGCTGCTGCTCTGCCATGTAGGCAACTGCTCTACCATGAAGGCTGCCGCTTTACTGTTAAAACACGGAGCGTCCTAAGTACACGCAGGGGCAGATTTCCCGCCTGAGGATAGTGGGTTTAACTGGAAAAGTCGTCGCTAATTGACTGATGGAGTTACAAACTCGAAACTATATTTCATAGTACGGCCTCTATATCGTAATCTTGGTTTCTGGTGGGTTTTATTATATTACGTTGTGGCAACGCTAGCAGTAAAAAACTAAATATTGTCTCTTTAGCAAATAATATTTTTTTACCTCCATCGTTAAGCATAGCAGCCGAAGTTATTCGAACTCTATTTGTGTCCACGCAAACTGCAGCACAACAATAAAAATAATTTTGAGCTTACTCTAAACTCTAAAGGCATTGATCGAGGTTGGTCAAGATCTCAATTATTTCTAGACGATCCGTGCTGCCGATCAAACGTTGATCTAATTTTTTACTGCAATTCTTCTCTAGATTATCGACGCAGCAAAAAAATTTCCCGTTAATAAAACTCTTGAACTTCAACAGTCGTATGGATACGAGCCTTATTTCCGTGCAATGCATCCAGCGGATGATTGTAAGGGAAACCTTTTGTCATAATTACAGCGGCAGGAAAAATTTTTATTGTTCAATTGGCCAATGTTTAGGCCTTTCAATAATGGCGTTAGAATTAATGTAGGTGCAATATGTAGGTACAGGGAATGTAGGTGCAATATCCTGCGAAAAGAGAGATGTTATCTCATTGATAACATAGCATAATTGGACAAAATCATATTCGAGACCCCAGCCAAATAACTCAGTTTCCGAAACCTGCAATGTATAGCAAGAGATTAGCCTAAGATTAGATGGAGATTTAAATTTAAAGCGTACCGAAAATTTGTATCGCATCAATATTATTAAGATGAAATGAAGTTATGATAATATTCAAAGTTTATTCGTGTAATATCGAACTGTGTAATAGAAAATTATGCTTTATAATTTAAATTTATAAACCTCTTGTGTTATACTTGCGTGACATCTACTTATTCGAAACCAAGAAAAGAGCATTTATTAATTTTGATTGACAAATTTATAGCGGAAATTCTCTCGCAGTAGCATTAGGTTATTTCCGAAGCTATAGCATCGTGAACAAAGAGCAAAAAAAAAACATCATTTTCCTAGAGCTCATTGCGGAATTTTCATTTTCAGTACCTAACATAAATGACATTCAATCTTTTGATAATTAGTAAATAACGAATGAAAAAGTACAAAGAAAAAATAATAAAAAAGACTTGTCGAGAATGAATAGAAAATGTAGAAAAATCTTCCGAACCAGCTTACATAGAGTGCAGTCTAATCGCAACGTATTGTTAACAAATTTCTTTGAATAAACATAAATAAATAAAAATTTCTTTGAATAAATAAACGTGCATAGTTTTGGCAAGGAATAAATACGTTGCCTGTTTTTTATAGCAAAACCAATTTTGCACACAGTTTAGCATGTCATGACTAACGACTTGAAATATAACGCACCAAAGGTCACAAAACAAGCAAAATGCATGATTTAGAATTGCTAAAACATGGCATTTAAGATCAAAATCTGCCATTCTGTTATAGTAAAATGAATTCCCCAAACTTCAGAACCACCGGAATAAATTTTCTTTCAAATTATGCAATGAATTTCTTCAGTAAGATTCTTCGCACTTTGTCATTCATTGAGTTTAAATGATCGCGAAGAAAAGCACTTATTTTTTGGCACAATTAACTCTCGTTTATTCACTCTGGGAAAATTTCATTCGGAATAAAGTTGATTGGTAGTAGCTGATCGTTGACAAATATGCAGTTACATTTTTTCTGTTGTGGAATAATTTACTCCAACATGATGTAATAAATTCACAGAATATTGGGGAAGTCGTGTTCTCTTTCTCTATTATCACCAAACGCTAGCAGCCTAGCATGCATATCATATAAGTAGATCACAATGAGATTCGGTCTTGAGGCAACGATGAAAACGTTGGAGCAGCCGCGGACTGAATACATAACGAAATCTAACAAATCATAGATGAGCAAGAATGATGTGGTTAATGTCTCTTGAATTTTCAAATATCGCGACTAAAAATACGCCGAAAAGATTTTATTTGCTTACAGATTGCTGGTGAACTTGTCGCGTGATCGTCAAGTAAAGTTATGTAACAAGTAAAGAAAACTGTCGTCAGAGACTGCAAAAATTGTGGAGCTATCAATGGAGTTGCTATCGATCACATCAAGAAGAGCTTCTTTTGGTTATCGTCGAGTTTCCGGATGCAGATGAATGCCACGAAAATTTGCTAGTACATAGCATTCAAATTGCAATAAGATAAAATTTCATTATTATTATTATTATTCCACGAAGAGATTGTCGTGGCATCTCGTTCACATCGAACATTGCATGTCTTTCAAATTTGAAACTTAGTCCTATCAATCAGAAAATTTTGGCCTTCGAAACTTTAATTTCATTTTCAAAGAAATTCAAAAAGACATCTACGTCAAACTGGGAAGCATCAGCGAAGAAATTGGGCAGTTTGCAGTATAAATGTCATGTTTACTGAACTTTACCAGAAAAAAAATTATTTAGCCAAATCTAAATCAAATTCAAATATACTCCATTGCTGACTTCATTGTTAAAATAAATAACATCACGAATCCTTGTTAAGTAAGAATTGGCTTCATTCGGGCCGCACCTAAAATATACTTCGTTGAATTGAGTAAATAAGGGCTGCCCAGGAGCTATTTGTCCCGAGCAAAACTGGGTTCATCTCTTACTTTATAAAACATAATTTTAACGATCCCCTTCCCTCCTGTGTACAGGCTTGTCTCTTCACTTTTTAGCGGATTTTCTCATTTATGGAAAAAAGGCACTATTGTGCTCATCATGTCCGTCCGTCCGTCAGTCCGTCCATCCGTCCGTTCGTAAGTCCGTCCGTCTGTCCGTGACTTCATGTTTTCGTCGATTTTGAGAAAATGCGCTCTCTGTCACTCACTGCAGTGAGTACTGAGTTATATTTTTTAATCAAATCTTCCATCCGATCATTATAATGTTAACCTGCCACTGTAGAAAAGTAAATAAATTTAGAGATGGTGAAAAATTCTGGTTCAGTTGCATACCTTTTAACAATTGAGATGCAGCATTCCTTGCCATTACACCTTCGCCAATTGCTTCTCCTACAACGAAAAATCAATTTCAAATCTATCTCCAATTATTGTGCAGAGTTCTAAGAAAAGTTTACGTGGGCTTCCAGAAGAATTTACAAGGTAATTATTCGTTTTATACCCTGAAGTTGGTTAATATCGAAAGTGAAAAAAAAATATTTCTGATCTGAATGATCGACTCTTTAAATTTTACTTCGAGCTTGTAAAACCATTGAATGTCCTAAAGATCAAACAGAAAAAAAATTTATTTGTAACTACACTACAAATCTACAAACACCACAAATCTCTGAATTTCGAGTTTTGATGAAATATTGATTTCTACATTTATTTTGCTTCAAGCTTCAACTTTCAGTCACTCTACGACGGACATGTCGTAAATTTTGCTACAATCATAAAGTAAAATTAGTTATGCTATTTATAAAAATTTCATCTGCTCAACCGTGCAATCGTGATACGACTTATCAATGATGCTCCGTGCTCTCACTGAACGTAAACACGTTCAACCTTTCGACATGTAACCATTTCATGCCAAATTAGCTTACAAACTAATCCCCCACCTGCGCCACCAGGAGGGGACTTGCACCCTGTAGGAGATGGCGACTTCTTGAGGTAGTGACTGTGACTTGTTGGGTTCCTGACGGCGGTGGGCCGGCGCAGGGTGATGGGTCGGTCGTCTACCCTCTTGCGGCCTCGTCGGCGCACCACGTAGCAGCACACCAGCAGCAGCAGCACCGCCGCTCCCAAGGCGGACGCTATCACCAAGCCTATAGCCGAGCTGCTCGACGACGCTGCACGAACATTACATCAGCTTTAACCACACCAGAATTACATAAATAGTGATCGCGTTATTTCTGCTGAACAACACTTCAAATTGCAATGATTTTATTTCTCTTGCTTAACGTGGCCGCAGAAGTAATGGTTTCGTTTCGTTTTATGGAGCAGCGAATGATGGTAGCTCTGTGATCATTAGTATTTTTTCCGGGTGCTGTATTTGTTTGAAATAATTTCGCGGTTGTAGTAGTGCTCATCCTCGAAATTTTTATGCTGGCTGATAATACGCCATTGTCATTTATATCTGAATCTAGAAAGTGGATCAATTCAAAGTGTTTGATTTTTCAATCATATTTTTTTTATAGCGCAATAAATTTACTAGTAAAAATTTTTGAAAATTCACACTTGAGTAAGTGGCGGGAAAATGTTTATTACATATTAATTACACCCAAAGATTGCATAAGTTGAAAACAAAATAATTGAAATTGAAGAAACTCAATGAACCAGCAATCAATTATTAGGAAGAGTTTTATCTAATTTATTTAGTTTCCAATCAATGAAATATTTCATTTTTCCTTTCTTTCCAATATTACTCTTCTTTAATCAAAACTTTATTATATAGGAATATGTTCCAAATATTGAAGGAAGTTAATCGAAACATTTAATCCACATAATAATAATAAAATACAAAAACTTTTTCTTCCGTTTCTGCCAATATGAAAGATGCTGATTTTCGAATAAGTTCCTCGCTACTTTAATTTATACAGAACTTCGTTACTTTGAATACAATTTTCCTCGTCAGCGTACGACGCTGAACTGTAGAAAGCGGCGCTATACGGACCTACATGCACCAGAAAGCTGCACGGTAGCTAATGTCGCGGTAATTTCTTATTCTAATACCATGGCTTATGGCTTGGCTTGCCGTGTTGATATTGTTCAAGCGAACTCCTAGGTAACACACAAAGCGTAATGTGCGTCGTCCTGACACACATTTAACTTCCTTTATAAGCACTGCATTGAGAAGAACTGCTAGAATATTGGCTTTTAAGGTCATAATGTGAAGAACTTGCTATTAATAAGAGTGATATAGTTATCTCACTTAGCGCCTTTCTATGAATCTACTGCTCATTCAGTATCCAGCAATGTGATAAAATAAATGGATAAATTGGTAATTTACTCTATTGGCAATAAGACTACATATCCACTGAGATAGATCGAAACCTAAATTAGATCATCCGTTCTTAGGATGCAGAAAAAATACGCAATAAACTACCCACTAAATAGCTTTTTTCGTGTGTTCAGCTCCATCAGAAACGAATTGGTCCTCAAAAATTACGTTTACGTGCTAAAGCGATGTAGTTTTTCGATGTTTTCGATAGGCACTTCGATTTTAGAACACGAAAAACCGTTAGCAATATATATTGATGCTTGTATAGGAATATCGATAGTAACAAACTTAATTAGAATTTTCTAAAACTGTGAATCATGACAGCGCTGAATGACAAAGAGCGGAAAGAGCATCGCGGTTAACCACCACGGTGTTTTCCCCGCACATGACCGGATATGTGTAATTTCAGTGGCTTTACTAAATTTTTAGTAAATAATTATTGGTTTGGGTATTTAGTTCCAAATAAACGAATAAAACATTAGCTGAAAACAAACTTTGAAAACGAAACACGAAACATTTTTCGATGAAACCCAAAATATTCACATCAGGATAATAAAATAATGTTTTCAGGGAAGATGAAATAGAATGAAGTTTTATGAAACCTAGTTTATCCCTGTTAGGTAATTTTTCGAACACACGAGTAACTTACATGTGCTGTTTTCAATTAATTAGGGATCGATTTAAATGATAATTGCTTAGATTTCTGTCATTATAAATTTTCATATATTGTTTACTGAATCATTACTATATCCCAAGTGTTTTCTTGGTAGTCTGACTAGTCTCGTTAGTGAAGTCTGAAGGAAAAACCAACCACTTCTTTTCTCCGGTTCCGAGTCTGATCTTGGATAAGCTCATTGCTCGTTCAAGGTATTCTACTTAAGTCGCTAAAATTAACTGTGTCGCTGGATTAAAATATTGTCCTGAATTCCTCAGAAAATTAAAATGGTGGTTTGGAAAAAAAACAGACTGAAAATTTAATTCATTGTTCATGAATCTCCAGCTGACTACCATTAATATTTAAGATATAATTTCACGTCATTCACAAAAATTGCATTGCGCCATATGTTCAGGGTCGTGTTTTGATGACAAACTGGCGAGCGATGGATATAATAATGGCTGTCAGTAGTTTTCATGGTTAAACAGTAGCAGGAAAATTAAAAAAAAGGCTAAGTTAAACCATCCTTCCTACGTCACAAATAATATTGAATTTGGAAAACTACCTCGATAAAATCATTCAATTATGCAATGTAATATAATGAAAACAAAGAAAGGCATATGAGGTGAGCATGGCATCCCTTAAATTTAAAGAGATTCCAGGATGATGCAAGGATGAACGAGTGAAAGTAATTTAAATCTTCGTCTGTTAGTCCGTAGACTTTTCAATCAGCGCACATATCCGGATAATCAAGATTTCCTATAATATATCTTGTTTGGCCATCAAGATGTCATGAAAGTAAAATAATTATTATCAAAAGCCAATTGAGAGCAAAATCATAATTGATCATGAAGCAAAAACATTGTGCAAGCTTAAACTACCATCAAATCTATGTTTTCGTCGTATAATATGAATTACTCAATTTAGAATGACTTTGGCCAAAAACTTTCAGAAAATTTTGAAACATAAGGGATAGCCTCCAGTATTATTGAAACGCTGAACTTAACTTTCCGTTGGTTAATTCGTGGAAACACTTGATTCTACTAATTAATAGCAACTCTCGGTTATGTTATTCAGGTTTGCGGAAGGTATACATAGTATAGACCGTACCACGTTATAAACAACTTGAAAATGGTACCTCTCTTTGTATAACTTCACAAGATAATCGCGCATATTTTAGCAGCTACAGAATCAATGCACGACTTTAAAAGAACTTACATTGGATTTTATGGGCTGATAATGGAAGTGCTTTAAAAGTCTGTTCCGAAGGGCATCGCAAGCAGGCTTTGCCAGACCCCACCCACCTGCATCCACCGCCGTCTTGCTAGGACCCTTGCTGTCCCAGGGTCCGAGGGTCGTAGCTGTTGGCGACATCCCGTCTGAAGGACCTCTCTACTGGGATAGGATGTCTTGCAACTCTACTCAAACACTGACGAAGTTAGCTCGGCAAATTGGAAAGCCGAGAGAGCGCGACGCGAAGCTGTATTCACTCCACGACGGTTTTATCGACACTGGCTGTGCCACCTTGACGTCGCCAACGATCTGGCTTCATCTTATCGAGCTCTTGTATTCGTATTAATTTTTCTTATATAACCGAAACAATTCGTTCTCATTTCCAGTATATATTCTTTTTCCATGGAAAATCTATGACATGTAACTGTAGTGTCATTAATGCACTTGAAAAAAATGTAGCAAATAACTGGTTAATATTGCACGTGTAAAAACGGAAAAAATAAATTAATCAGGTGCGTGTAGAAGGCTGCCTTGCTCATTTGTCCTATGGATGGCAAAGGACTTCACACGAAGTATGATTTGTTAGTTGAACCATTGAAGCCAGGTTAATATGAAATTAATGTTTGTAAAATGAACATTTTAAAAATGAATAAAACAACTAAACATTTTATAACTGTTAGGTGACCGAGAAAAGGATACCCAAACTGGAGATAATTTCGATTCAACATCATATAATATTTACTGGTTTGAACAAGAATGTAAATTTACAAGATAAAATGAATTTCAGTAAAATTACAAATAAAGAGCGATGTGGCACCGCCGCAAGCTCAGCTAGAGTCTGCGCACTTTACTTTCCAGGAAACACAGTCCATTGATGACGACAGCAGACAGGAACAATTGCCATGTCCCAATATACTGGACTCCGTAGTAACAAAATCTCTTCTATTCTTCGATGTTATTGGTGAATTTACACTCACTCAATTGTTTAATCCAGAACTATTTCTTTTGTCTTCTGAACAGAAGATATGATCGTAGAAGATGCATCTTTAATCATTATTAAAGTGAAGTGGTTTTGTTTAGTTCGGCTACATATCTCAGTTAAGCAGGTCCTCTTGTCCCATCTAAATGTCGATTTTCATCAACTTGAAATTTTATTATATTTTTAGACAAATGCACGAATGAGTTTTAACGAGGAAATTTTATTGGAAACGGTCAAAAAGAAAATTAATTATTGGACGCAATGTCTCCAATTTTCTAACATCATTGATCGTAAATTCTAGTCAAGCTTGAATTTCATAGCCTTATTTTTAACATGAAAAAAATTAATAATGTAGAAACTTCATGCAGCTCATTAATCAACTCAAGTTAATCCATGATATTGGTGAAGGGACAAATAGACATTCAAATGAAGTTTTGCGTTACAGCCAGAATCCATTTAAGTACATTATTGACATTAATAGTCTTGACTGAACATTGCTGTATAGTTTTAGTTGGAACAGTGTGATCACATTATCAAAGCGTTTGCTTAATTGGTAGTGTGCTTATGATACAGACTGTTTGGGTGATGAAAGCTGCAGTTACTCAGGACAATGACCAATTAACAAGATTGATGTCATTCATATTACAGCAGCGCATTTCGTACGGCAAGCGATCAGCTGCACGAACATTTCGGTAGAACGAAGCTTAGAAATTTTTTTTTCAGCTCTTGCCCGTAAACGACTTTGTATACCTACTATATGGGGTAAAAGTTACCTGTACCATTCTACCCTATTCTACCCGGGTAGAATCGGGTAAATCGGGTAAAAAGCTATGGAGGTTAGGTAAGACAGCCACGGTTCTTGTAACAAAAATATGAACTTGGCTGTCCTACCTAACCTCCCGAACTTTTTTCGAACCTAGCCGATTCTACCCGGGAAAATCACCGCGATTCTACCGGGTCGTATTATTCAATCGGCAAATCATTCACTACGAAGCGAACCAGGAAAATATTAAATTGATAGCCATGATACCACATTGAAAATTTCTAGTACCTGCTTGTTAGCTCGGTCGTGTGTAGCGTGGTGCTTAATTTTTAAACGAATTTTTTTTTTCAAATTCCGTGCAACAATATACAGTATATATATAACCCTAAATTTCATCTAGCACTTACAAATGAAATTTTTACAATTTGCATTTGGAAGTGTAAAAGTTATTATATAGTAAACGAAAACAATATTTCCCTACGTTTTTCGTTCCAAAGACTTTATTGCACCAATCAGATCCGCCCAATAACATATTGCGCAAATCCTCATTAATTGATAAACTCGTCAACCAGAATGCCGCAATATTCAATTTACCTCGGTATTGAATGTAAAAAATATTTCAAACAGAAACAATACTAGGCGTTCATTGAGAGTAGAATCAGCTTTAAGATTACGAGGTTTTCGTCATTACGACCTAATAAATTAATTATTGTAACATTTTTCGAAAAATTTTCAATGAATCAAACAGTTATCTTCGATTTTTGTCGCTCTCAGGCGGAAACTTTGGTCAAGAAAATCATACCAATGAATTTTTCCATTAAAAAGCATGACCCATAAGTTTTTTACCACATACAAATGACAGAGGGCGTCTCATCACTTCCTTTACTTTCCTGTCTCGCATCAATAATCAATAATATTGAGTGCCTTTTTTGTGCCAGTCCTGCGGATCGGACTTGGCGCCCTAAAGCTCAAAAATTAATAAAAATAAGTTCAGGCTCAAATTATGCAAATTACATTTTCGTGGCGCATGCAAGAATAAAAAACCTGGAAAAATTTTCCCATGAGCAAAAATTATCGACATGATCTTATCACCGTGCACCATGATTGTCTCTATTACACGTTTCTCTTAAAATTGGACTGACATACGGAAATTTGGAGGTGTTTCTATAGAGAGAACGTTTAGAGACACCATATAGTTCATTAATTACATGTTTATAAAGGTTCTACCTCATCTTGTAACCCAAACAGTGATCAAGATAAATAAATACAAATCATCTTTAATTTAACGACAGACATTATATTTTTACATAAGCGAGTAAATTCATAGGCTTGAATTTCAGAGAAATGTTGGCACCAACTAGATTGAGATATAATTTTTTAAAGATAGTAAGTATCTTCAAAAAATTTAACTCTCTCTCAAATGAGAAAATTTTGTTGCTCAATGAATGTTCGTTATTCGAGTTTCCTTTAATTGATTTCAATTACGGATATTGATATCTCATGAAACTTGAATTGCCTACTCTAGATGCCCCCTCCTTTTGTAAAAAATTTTTCATCATCCATAAACTCCTTAATGCACCGCTGAGCCTCAGAAGTTGTACCGAAAAACATTAGTCTAATACACCTACAGCAAACTCAAGAACACTTAAAAAATAACGATATTCTTACCTGCATTACAGAACATAATATTTTATTTTCGACACATTTGTGAAAATAATGACACGCACATTGTTATAATGGAACTGCCCACGCACTCTGAAAGGACTTGACTCATCGCAATCAAGGCGTATCGATCACGCTGCTATCTGCTCCACGTATTGACTTTGAGGCTCAATGTAGCTGAGCTCACATGTGATGTTTGTGATCGTCAACCACAGCTGTTCATGTTGAGTAGAAAAACTTTTGTGTTGTAAATTTACTGCCAACAATCTTGTTGATTTTGGTGAAATTTTTAATCATTCATAGATATTAGTACAATTTGATAGAATTTTATACGTTTTAGAAACCATTAATGAAACGGATTCAGCCAAAATCTTGACATACGGTATAGTATGAGGAAAATTCGTATATTTTAGAGTTGAGTACTCCACAATTCTGGAACGAGCCAATCACCAACTTGATTCGTCAGGTCTATGTTTTAATCATGATTCTGAATTGAATTCTCTAGAAGTTTTCGCATAGATTTCATATTCTTCCAAAAGCTTCATTTCTACGATTTCTTCACATTTATCACCTTGAAAGATGTTGCGAGAATTCATGTCCATAAATAACTAATTCTGATATTTTTCTTCTTAAACTATTTAAAGTTTGGGAATGTAAAACGTCTAGCCATTGAAAAATGAGCGGAACTTAGGCTACGTATCGTAATTATTGATTATTACTTTTATTATAATAGAATAATACAATTAATAATAATAATAATAATAATAATAATAATAATTATAATAATAATAATAATAATTCAAACCCACATTCAATAAGGAACTCCTTTAAATTGACTTTCGTTTCAAAACATGCAGCGAACTATATTACACTTCTGAAATAATACTTCTACATAGAAATTTCAAAAAGGCATTTTTTTTATCCTACGTGATTTGCAATGTCTTACCATTCTTACACATTGAGAATAAATTTGACAATTCATGTAATATCACGATGCGATAATTATTACGGATGCAAGCTCGAACAGTCCCACATAAACTTACAAACATACTTCGACAAACATGTATAAAATTTATGAAAGTTCGTTCCATGCCCGGAACTGTTAACACATGTAAGGACTACTCAAGCGCGTATTTACAATACTTTTCATGTCTGGATATTACCTGGTGTAGCAATTTTTTCATTTTTTTCGGGAAATCATGAAACGTTGCATAACTAGGTAGGGTGAACTAAAAGTGAATTAAATGTGCGTGAGTGAATTACAAAATTTAAACGTACTTCTTAATTGGGTGCTTGTAGGTTGTATGGTTGTATATTTTGATGTAATTCAATTGCGTTTATTAAACAGGGAGTTAACTGAGATTTCATTACTAAATGTGTGTTGAAACGGCTCCTTTTTTATTATATTTACTTTAGTCCTTTAGTCCCAAAATTACCTTGCGATGTTACTAGAAGTTGCGAGATTCAGAAAGATGAGAGCATGGTTAACAAGATTCTCAATTTTCTATGATATCGTTATCAGGAAAACGCCAGGTTGGAATGCTAATTTTGTACAGTTAACCTGTAAATGTTGTGTCCAACCAGCTTAGATGGCGTGCCCGAACTCGCTAACTTAGAATTGCATATTAATGCCGTTTGCACTCGGCATTAGTTTAAACAACGATTTTATATAGCAAAATTATTCAAGTAAAGCAAATAAATTCTGCTAGAAAAAGAAGATATTCATATATAAGTTTAGAAAATCATGATATCTAACTATTAAGCATGATTCAGTATTGATTAGTCTGTGATTTTATAAATACTTAATTTATATATTGAGATGAGTCCAGGGTGATTCACGGAAACTTCCTGATTTGAAGGCTCATTAATAAAACGAGTAGATATATCATTACCATATAAATGTATTGAACCGCACCGACATGAACTGTGCGAAAGAAATATACTTAATTTTATGAAATATTAAAGAAACAATAATTACAATCAAACAATAATAAATCAATAAATATCCATCAAGCAGAACCGAGTGTGGGCTTCGTAGAATTACAATCAATACACAATCAATCAATAATATTGCAATCAAGTACAATGCAATACAATAAGTTGGTCAATAATTGAATACAATAATATCACAATAATTGCAATCAAAGAATAATAAATCAAGAAATATCCATCAAGCAGAACCGAGTGTAGGCTTCGTGGAATTACAATCAATCAATAATATTACATCAATTACAATCAAACAGTAATAAATAAATATCCATCAAGCAGAACCGAGTGTAGGCTTCGTAGAATCAGGCCTGAGTGCAGCATCAGCCGTGACAAGAGCTGTGTTGGCAGCCTGCATGAAGTGCTGTAGCCGCTCCAGCATCCGAGCTGTGACTTCTCCTTCCAGATCTGCCTGTCGCACGAGTAAAAGTTATTGAACAATAAGTATGCATTAAAAAATCGTAAAATGGGCCTTTTTCGTAGCAAAAATTATAATGATTTAATTATTTGGAACTTCAGCAGTGAAGTGGAAAACTTTTCATGTCGGAATTAAATTCAACTCCATATCGTCTGTAGATGTAACAAATATAATTAAATACTGTTCAACAGAAGCTAAAAATAATATCTTCAGGCCTTGGGGTATCAGCAATAAACGCATATTTCACGACAAACGTTTTTCATCTTTGAAGTAAATAATTTCAAACACTGACGCAGGCAATTTTGTACATATACATTCACTAATTTTATTAAGTTTTCCGTTTCGTGGTTTTATCAGTTCAACATGGATTCAATGTTTACCTAAAAACAGCTTACCTGATTTTTCTCACATTATAATTTAAAGCTGAAAATCGTTACAGTTTATTGAATCATTCGTAATTTTATTGAATAATAAAGACATCACAGAACCTACGTGAAGCAATTATTGGGGATATTGAATGTTTTCATTTAATGTAATTCCTATGTGAAGAACAATTATGCCCACATAAATTCGTTGGGAAAGGAGTCTTATAACACTACTGTAGCTAGAGACCGACTCGCCAAACCACAGCAGTTACTTCGATCGTTCGGCCACAATAATCCGAATCTATTTTTCGGTCAAGCTTCAGTTTCCTGGTCCTATTTCATAGTATGTGTTGTTGATTGTGTGAATTTTGAAATGAAATTAAAAGAACTCACATATTGCCAGCACGCAGTCTAGTCACAGCTCGATATAATATCAGAATTATTATTAAATTTTAAATAGAAAACTGCACTTATAGGCTCAATGATCATCTATATAGACCAAGAAAATAGCGACTATATAATAAAGCTGTTAAAATAACTGTTGAAATTTATGTTCATTTTTGTGTTATGGAAGAGCTATTGAATCGAACTAAACTCAATAAAACTCTTCAAAAACTGCTGCTTCAGACGGAGAATCTATAGGAACCTCCGTGAGACATTAGTGTTTGGTTTTTTATTCGATCGACAATAAAATTTGTATTCCTGAAGATTTCTCTGCGAATTATGTATCAAATATAAAAATAGTTTAAATTAAAGTTTTCTAGTAAAAAAAACATGATTGATTTGAAAAGATTGCCGCGCCAACCCTGAATTCAAAATACGTTTCGTCGGCTTACAAGCTGCACATGCAGCGGAGGAAGAGATTTTTGGAATCTTCGTGCGATGTTGTACATGTTGGTGATTGCCATGTTGATTTGAGCCAGCTGACAGTTGAGTTTTGTTGAATTCGCCTGCAGCTGCATTAGCTGACTCTCTTCCTGCTGCAGCTGTCTGCTGATAGCCTGTTCAGCTGCACTGGTCTGATGCAGCTGCAACAGCTGCTCACATTCCTGTTCTTCATCCATCTGTATTAGAATGATACATACGGATAACCCATATCATTAAAGTGGCAGCTCTAGATTAGTGCCTAAAGTAGGTTTAAAAAATTTAACGATGAACAGCCCTTCATCGAGATCGACGTTTCAGGTCAATGGTAGTTTCTTCGATTGAAGAAAACAAACTATATTTATATTTTTCATTTTGGTAATATTGAAAATAGACTCGAAAAAATAATACCAAGCTAAAAAGTTGGGATTAAATTTTATGACAAAGTATTTATAAAGCTCAATACTTCGACGAATTTTTCATACTTCTCGAATTTTTGTATTTTCCTCTAGCCTCGACCAAAATTTTGCTTATTTATAAATAACGCTGAAAGTTCATGCCCCTGTTCTCAACCTTTTTTCCTTTGTTTTCTGCATCACTGATGTTTCATTGGATAGTGCGTGAATGAGGAAGAGTTGAGACTTATATAATATTTAAATCGAACAAAATATACATATTTGGTCGGCAAACTTTCAAAGTCGTCTCAAAATTCGCTCAGAATGTGCTTTCTGGGAAGGACTGATTTTAACCTGGTAATGATTTCTTTTACCCCCAAATACCAATTAGGGAAACGCTCTCACTTAAGTAATCGTACTTAATGATTATTCTCAACTCTCTGATATTATTCGAGTAGACAAAATTTACTCCTGATTTTCTGTAAAAATGCACCGCAGAACCTATTTATTTTTCAATTCAAGTTCCGTATTAACTCATTTGTAATCGGTCATTGATAACTGTAACGTACCATATGTTCTGCTGGCGTATTACATCATCATCATTTATTTATTATGATCATTTATTACGTCAAATGATCATCACTGCGCCCGTGCTAACTGATAAAATAATTTGAAAATATATGCACTTCAATCGCTCGAAAGTTTCTGATTATTGTACATAAAAGTGAACTAAGCTCAGTGGTTGTGAGGTTGAAATTAAGCTTTTACCATTGAATTTCAAATACAGAAGTTGAGTTACATAACCTATTTCCCATACACAGCCCAAATATTAAATAAGTCGTAACATATATGTTTTAAGAAATTCGTACTGATGGTGGAAAGTAAACTTTATATTGCCTTTCTAGTACGGTTACCGCAATATATAAAATGTCGACTTACCTGTTGAGCTAACAAGCAGCGCTCCTTAACAGCAGCGAGTTTATTGGTGGCCTCCATGACGCCAACAAGCAGTTCATAGCGCAGCACCAAGCGATCTCTGGAAACAATTAAAATAACTTTAATTATTTTCAAGGCTATGGGAACCGATTGAAATTTAAGACTTGCCGAAGGAGTCAGAAAAAATATCGTAAGTTTTTATTGAACTATCACGTTTTTAAAGGCGAATGAAAAAAATAATCGGTCTCATGGATAAGTGAAAAAAAAGCTTTCAATTTTATTCCCACAAAAAACCTATTTAAGCATATATAGATTCAGATCAAGATTTATTGGGCATTGAAGTTATTGAATGATTTTTAACAAAAAGGAATTGCGTACTCATGCTGTATTCAATTGTCATTTAGTTGTTCTTCATTCAGACAGTATTAGTTCGAAAGAGTGGTGCGATGTTCGTCAACCTGAACATTCCGTGACAGAAATTATTATATCTCCCGGAGTCTAAAATGTTATGCTAAAGCAATGTGGAGAGAGAATCAATAATGCAGAGTAAGTTGCCCAATTTATGCTAATCGAGAGCTGCAGATTACTGCAGAGCGAGGAACGCACCATTACTGCAGAGCGAGGGACGCACCATTACTGCAGTACCCACGTACGATGGGCGCCGCCCTTTGCTCACCGGAAGCTCGCCGTAAGTTGCGCCACGGAGCCTGCCGCCTCGCCGCGCCACAGCGCCGCTGCTGCCACCACGTGCGCCTGACAAGGAGGGTTATCAGGAAGCCTTGGTTATTATCTGCTAAACCAAGATAACAAGATATTGCAGGCTACTAGTATTTTATTATTGTTCTGAAGCTGAAATTAATTATACATGCTAGTTTTCCTAAATAAAAATCAGAACTGAATGTGCATTTCTCCATGATGCAAGACATAAGAAAGAAAAAAATATATCTATAATAACAAAGAAATGAATTATCAATTTAATTCTATACCAAAGTAATTTATCGACAATATTGACTGATTACAATATCAACTTAATGTTTTTGGGGTTTGTATGAGATGGCTATACGTGTGGAATTTACATCTTCATCATATATTTTAAAGCATGTTATTCATCAAAATCCTATCGCAGCTTCAACATGTGACCCATTAGTCTTTCTAGTTACATGACAAAGTTTGTAAATTAGCATATATAACATTAGCTGCGTTCGTCAGAAGTAGCTGGAAGGTTGACAGGCTCATGTCACGGAAACATAACTATTTCAAATCGTTTCCTTCATCATATGGACCTAGATATTTTGAAGAAATAATTTCCTATCGTACAATTGCGGTAATTTTATGAAATTGTGATAAATATTTCCAATACATAATTCTTCATTCGAACATCTCATTTATTTAAGATCGACGTTGCTTCGACAACTCATTTAAGATCGACGTTGCTTCAACGTTGAAATAAGGTTGTTTTACGTCTCATTTAGTGTTGGTCAGATTTAGAGGTTGATCTGATGTTTAATTTAAGTTGGTCAATAATTCAACCTGAAATTAACCGGTAATTTTAATGAACAATCAATTTCAACGTCAAATTCCGGCTGGGAATAAACCATAAATACTAATATAGGTACTCATACTGTACATATCGGTGGTTCTTATGTTTTATCACCTTGTACTCTGCGTAGTTCTTGACAGTACTCTTGTTCGCTTCTGTTTGGTATTTATTCTCGTAGCTGCGCTTCCTGAGGTCAGCAATTTTCAGTTCACGGACGTCAGCTGCACTCATTACTGAATCCTGACTCGTTCCTTCTTCTCTTTCCTGTGGAGTTTCAGTTGTGGCGTAAGGCGTTGAGCTAGCAGCACTGTCATCGAGCTGTTCGTTCGTAATGTCGTTTGCATTCACGAACGATTCTGCCACCGTCGGGGCACACTCCTGAGCTATAACACCAGCTTCCACCGTGCGCTTCTTCTCTTGGATCTAAAATGAAAGACTTTTAATTTCAACAAAAGTTTTTATTCATATACATTAGGTATTATAGTGTGAAGTTCCCCAACAACAATCTGAACTCTATTTTTTTAAAGCAGCTCATGAAGCATTGAGTTAATCATTTGTTAAGTCGATAAGCATCTGATTTACGTTGGATGAAACAATTTCCGGCATTTTGTCCACAACCAAGGTACCTACGAGGAAGCAATTTTTTTCTGAACAATGCCGTATCATGCAACTGTATACCAATATTAGATTATCATGAGAATTGAAATTAAAGAAAACCTTAAACGAAATCCTTGTGACTTTATTGCAAATTTTTGGATAGTGTCATTTAGTGAACATGGTTTTCAATGAAAAATTGATGAATTAGCTCGACATTTTCCTTGTTTTTGCATTTTTGGTTACTTTGCCATTTAAGTAAACTCATCGCATGAAAATTTCTCTCACATCAAAATTTAAAGCTATTCTTTTCATCAACATATGTACGTACTCTCTATCAGATGCGTGAACCAGCGACTTTCACCAGAAAATATTTTGCAAAATTGTAGCTAATATTATTCGTTTGAGAGGTTCAGTTTAAACGTAAGCTGTAACTTAATATCTACTGCTTCGGGAAATATAATTCGTTTTGAGAAAATGTAACCAAATTCATAACTAAAAATTTCGCACACTGACCTCCAAATCTTTTTCATAACGTAGCATTTTCTGAAGAAGCGCAGAATGTCTCATTGCGACCTGCAGTTTACGCGCCTTCAACTGTTCTTCCTTGGCATGTAACTCGTCAACCCAATGTTCTCTTCCCAGCTTTCTCCTGGCTTGCTCTTCTTCCTCACCGCTCAAGCTTGCGACTTTCTCGAATCGAGTTCTTGCTTCGTGGAGCTGGTGTTCTATTTTCTTCAAATCTTCGTTCTTAACGATGGCCGGAAACTCGAAGGCTGGCGACACTGCATTGCCGATCGCCTCGCCCGTAGCACCAACGCCCACGCGACCGCAGCTCAAGGCCTCGCCAAGACCAGCCTCTTCTCGACCGCTGAAAAACATGAAAAATTGTATATTGTTTTTTGATGGCTGCACTACACAAGGAAGAATTGCTAAATAACAAGCATATGAAGTGGTTCTCATCCGCGATAAATGATCAGTACTTCTGATATTTCTTTGTGATCGAAGAATTTCTATTCATGTCATATTTTTATGGCTTGAATTGCACAGAGCCTTCATATGCTGATATTTTTCTAATATTTCATATGATTTGATATTTTTTAATGACCAATGTTTTTATGAGTTCTTAGACCATCATGAATTGCAGGCAGCCATCAAATGCTTTCACTAGAATGCTTAAAGTTTTCGCAGCAACAGCGTGAGCAAATGGTCTAGGTATAGATAAATAACTCAAAGCCCAGAGCACAACAAAACTGCGAGGGTAAACTTCTTTTTATGGACTACATTACCCGTCAATTTTACTTATAACTATTAAGCTGCATTATATTGCATTGTCCGTTATCTAAAGTAAAATGATCGAAAAACGAATTGAGTTCCAGGAAAACGAAGCACCGTAGAATGAAATGCACGCACCGATACCAAATCCAAAGATGGCACAACATTTGATAAGTTAGCATGATTTGAGTGTGAAATTCGATTAGTTGAAATTAAACAAAAAACTTACTTATCAAACGGTGCAATATAATCATACTATTTAAGTAAGGAAACAAAACTAAGAATTTAGAAGATGCCGCATTCACTGTCTCGAGGTCACATTAGACTAGTCAATGCGTCATGCGTATCTAAACAAAGAACATCGAAACAAACCACCCCTTCAACACAACACGAACCACCCCCTTCAACACAACACGAACCACCCCTTCAACACAACGCGAACCACCCCTTCAACACAACACAAACCACCCCCTTCAACACAACACAAACTACCTCCTTCTACACAAACCTGAGAATTATAAAAAAAACATTCAAATAAACGGGTGCCTTCAGAACAAACGAGCGCCTTCAGAGAAACGAGCGCCTTCAGAGAAACGAGCGCCTTCAGAGAAACGAGCGCCTTCAGAGAAACGAGCGCATTCAGAACAAACGAGCGCCTTCAGAATAAACAAGCGCCTTCAGAATAAACGAGCGCCTTCAGAACAAACGAGCGCCTTCAGAACAAACGAGCGCCTTCAGAACAAACGAGCGCCTTCAGAACAAACGATCAGAACAAACGAGCGCCATCAGAACAAACGAGCGCCTTCAGAACAAACGAGCGCTCTTCAGCAAGCGTTGTAACCTTTCAAACGATGCTCGAATTAAATCTTACAAACTTAGCCCTAAATCTCTCCGCTTTAAAATTTTTGTAACACAAACACCACAAACCTTCACTAATAATAGTGTCATGCAACTGTATCGAAAAGATTAGAAACTCACACTCAGCAAATACAAGGATGTGACGATACGAGCTCACACAATCGAACAACATCCCATCAAATAATATTAGCTTATTTGTTCATCTTATTATGCATGACTTGTCAGTTAGTTTCCCAGCATTGCTACATCGCCCGCAGTGCTGCTAGTTTGATTATTTTATAATTATTTGTCCGCCAGATCTCATGCTCTCCACTACTCGATGATCTCACCGCACGAGGAAGGAGTTCAAAGGATCAGTGGCGTGCAGAACGTTGTCGTAGACGAGCAGGTAGACGTTCTTAGCAGCCTCGCCGCCCTCCGTTCTGTTCATCTTCCTGTCCTCAGCCCCTCCGCGCTGTAAACTGCACCAAGCCCCTTTTGATTTCTTCATCGCTTTATTTCTTATTCATGTATAATGAATATTGTTTATCTTTATTTGTTTGTTTGTATTGCTGGAACCGTGAAACGAATAACCGGTATTTTATGTATTTTTTACAGTGTACACTCTGGTTGTTAACTTCTATGGTTATTATTTATGGTTATATTTGTGGTTTATATGGTTATATGAGATTATTTCTCATATATCGAATTAGTCAATAAAAAATATCAGCAAAACTCGAATAATGCCAACTTTATTCAATAAATATTATTCGTGAATTAAATTTCTATTTCCGATGTATATTTCATTGATACGCTCTTTCAGATTTCGAATTCAAGTCCCGAGATGCTCTGAATAAAATCTAAGTCAGCAAACGTATTTCACATCTCTAAGCATTAATTCGCGTGTGAAGATACATAGGGTACGGTATATTGAAAATATAGACTATGGGATGCATTTTGGCATGGACAAGGTGGTTTTGTTACATTATGGACTACAAGAAACATTTCCTTTATTGACTACAGGCACATTTCCAATGCGAACTACGGCACATATTTGAAATGTGTGCCGCAGTCGATCACATGTAAAGAAAATGTCTGCTATTAATTTCATAGTTTTTTTTTATAATCTAAAGTGATCACGTTTGATATGAAAATCACTTGCATAACTTGGAGCAAGATCCCTGCTGGAGTAAGCCACTGCGTCATTCTACTTCGCACTTGACGCAACTCTTCAGAATCTGCAGGTTGCCATAGCAACCAAAGCGCACAACGCATGCTCCTCTTCTAATTTTAGTCTTCAATATTACTTGCAATAATCAGGAAGAAACTGCAGCTAGCTGAAGAACAGCAAGGAATTTAACTGTTCAATCCAAAATGTTGGAATTAATATTTACACATTTTGAATAAATTTGAGTAGTTTAATTAACCGGAAGTGGGATAACTCAAGAAAATTGCACCCATTGAATGTATTCAGTAACATTCATAAATGTGGAATGATCATCCACCGGAACTTAATTTACTTGATTCAAAAGTACTCATAATAGAATGCTGCGGCTCTCTGTATGATAATTATGCTCACTGATTGTTTTATAACATTTTGCATAAATATATCAAATTTGGCCTAATTCGTGATCAACTGAAGCCCAACCAAAGTAACCGAAGCTCTTTAAAAGACAAAATAAAATCTATGCATAAAATACCTGCAATTGCTGAGATATCGGACTAGCCGTATTTTACTCTGATTAAACCGTCATAATGGGAAACGTGGAAAATTCTACGGACCACATCAATAATCGCTAGTTTGAGAGTCGTTCACTAGATTTCAACTCATATTTAATAGGAATCAATGAATAATTGTCAAATATCAATATCAATCAGCCAGGGAATCAGTGTGGTGCGAACTTACTCTAAAAGGCAAAGATAGCCTCCTCATAGGGGTCATTTACAGATCACCTAACAGCTCCTCTGATAACAATAAAGTACTAAACAGCCTTTTACCGAGCATGTCATTCAGCAGGTCGCATACGTTGATCGTTGGTGACTTTAACCATCCAGAAATAGACTGGGCAGATGAATCTTCTCCAAGAGATGGGAATCACCCAGCATCCTTGTTCTTGCAGTCTGTGCGAGACTCATTTTTAATCCAGAACATCACCAAGCCAAGCCAACTCATTTTTAATCCAGAACATCACCATTTTAAGGGTAAACAGACCCCAAATATTCTAGATCTTGTGTTTACTAGTGAAGAATCAATGATAGATGAGCTTCGCCACGAGGCTCCGTTGGGCAAAAGCCACCACCAATCATTGTTTTTCAATATTAAGTGTTGTGCAGAAAAGACGCTTCGGAAGCGTGAACGTTTGAACTTTGCGAAAGGCGACTATGATACACTCCGTGAAACGGTGAATGCGGCGAATATTTCGGACTGTATTAAGGACATGAATGTGGCTGATTCATGGTCGTTTCTCAAAGACACGGTTATGTCTGCAGTTGATGCCTGTGTACCCAAGATTACGCTTGGAAGAGTCAAAAAGTCCCAGTGGATGAACAGTGCAGTTAAGACTCAGCTAAAGACCAAAAAAGAAGCCTACAAGCGTTTTTTACGAGCTCGCAGCGAGTCTGATTATAACCTGTATGCCAGAGCTTAAAATCAAGCTAAAAAAAGTTTGTCACACTGCAGTGAAAAACTTCGAAAAAAATATTACCAAAAATGCAAAAAAGAATCTGAAAGCCTTCTTTTTGTACGCTAGTTCGAAGTGTAAATCAAAGGACGGTATATTTGATTTGAATGTAGACCAACGAAAGATTTCCTCTGATGAGGGCAAGGCTAACGTTCTTAATCAGTTCTTCAGCAGTGTGTTCACAGATGAGGACTTGGACAGCATTCCAGATATTGAGGAGCCCCCAGTCGGCTCGAAGTTAACATGCTTTGAAATACACGAAGAAGAGGTTCTCAAGCGCCTGGTAGCTATAAATCCTAACAAGTCATGTGGACCAGACGGCTTCCATCCCAGATTGCTCAAAGAATTAGCAACCGTTCTGGCCGGCCCATTGACAGTATTCTTTCAAAAAACCTTGAACGAAGGAACTTTGCCGTCCGACTGGAAAGAAGCTCAAGTAGCACCATTGTTCAAAAAAGGTGACAAAAGCAGCCCCGGCAACTATCGCCCTGTCAGTCTGACAAGTGTTGTTTATAAGCTAATGGAATCTGTTGTGAAGGATAGGATTATCGATCACTTGACTGCTCACCATCTCATATCAGATTGTCAACATGGTTTATTGCCGGCAGATCCTGCACCACTAACTTATTATCTACGTTGAACGATTGGACTCGCCTGCTGGACGAAAGGGAGCCAGTGGATGCATTGTACCTCGATTTTGCCAAAGCATTAGACAGTGTTCCGCATGAGCGGCTGTTGCGTAGAGTGAAGTCCTTGGGAATTGAGGGAAATGTACTCCAATGGATCAGAGATTTTCTAGTAGGTAGTCGACAACGTGTCATTATTAACGGAACCGTGTCAGACTGGGCATCAGTGCGCAGTGGCGTGCCACAAGGAAGCGTTCTGGGGCCTATTTTGTTCGTTGCTTTTATAAATGATCTGCCAGAAGTAGTGTCCAGCGGGTGCTCCATGTATGCCGACGACACAAAAGTTTATAATTCAGTGAAGGATGCGTCAAATAAAGCTCAATTACAAGATGGTCTTGACAGTTTAGTTAGCTGGGCTGATACGTGGCAGCTACGGTTTAATGCTGACAGGTGTAAAGTACTTCACCTCGGGAAGAAACAATGAACAGCAAGATTACAGTATGAGAAGACATAGTTGCAACGAGAGAGTAATGATTGAAAAGTCTAGCGTGGAAAAAGATCTCCGAGTTTATGTCGATAAGGAGCTGCAATTTTCTAAGCATGTTGAAACGCAAGCTAACACATCCAACAAACTTCTTGGAATAATCAGACGCTCGTACGAGTTCCTAGATGCAGAAGCGATGAAGCAGTTGTTTGTTGCTGTCGTGCGCCCGAATCTAGAGTTTGGAAACGTTGTGTGGTCACCGAGATTTGAAAAAGACAGAAATTTAATAGAGAATGTTCAAAGACGTGCAACAAGGATAATTCCAGGCTTGAAGGGCAAGTCCTATGAAGAAAGATTGAAGATTGTGAAGCTTCCAAGCCTCAGTTATCGACGTCTGCGTGGGGACCTCATTGATGTATACGAGTATACTCATAACATAACATAACATAGTGATCTCGGCGCTGCAGTGTAGGCCTGATGTGGCCTGTCGCCGATTCTTTTCCTTTTCGGGCCTTGTTCACAGAAGATCGAAATCGTGTCATATGACCCTATTTTTTCATGACTGACGAAAGTTTGAAATAGCTACTCGACTTCCACCGGGTTCGATATGGTGCTAGGCATTGCATGGTCTATACAAGGTCCCCGAAGGATTGCTAGAATTTAAAACAAGAACCAACACCAGGGGCCACGGCTATAAGCTAAAAATACTGCGCTGCAACTTCTCCACGCGACAAAATTTCTTCTCGCTTCGAATCACCGACATGTGGAACAGCCTCCCCGATGACATCGTTGGCGCTCCAAGTATGAACGCGTTCAAGAACAGACTAGACAAATGACACGATTTTAGATCTTCTGTGAACAAGGCACGAAAAGATCAAGAATCGGCGACAGGCCACATCGGGCCTACGCTTCAGCGCCGACATCACTATGTTATGTTAATATACTATTGAAGCATTCGAAGATCGTAGATTAAAACAACATCACATCCGGCTATCTTCTCAACATTATACGATTGATATCTTATATCCAATACGTACACAGCGGATAAAATCTTCCTAAATGATGATATTAAGTTTACGTTAAATGATCCTTCTGCGGCTTCTTTTTGACTTGTCTATTTTAACTGTCGAAAAAAACAAAATTACAAATAACTAATATATTATGATTCATTTTACAAGAGCGAATATTGATTGAGCAATCGTTTGAATCACAATTTGTCCTTCAACTGGAAACCTTTTGACTAGGGTCACAAATTTTACTCTCAAACTAACCCTGAATAGCTCAGCCACAAGGTTACAAGCTGTAGATAAGGCTAGAGTGCCGTAAACCTGACCGTTTCTACTTAATTAGGGGAGCATCTGGGTGCTGAAAAAACTTTTTTCTTTACAGATGGATCGTTTTGAAACTTGGTACTCATATGTAAAACAGAATTCTAAGACTTTTTTGTTCGTGTGAATTTTTCGAAAAAAATGAAAGAAAACGTGAAATTCTTAGAAAACGGTAAAAAGGGGGTACCGTAGAAAACTATCTCCTCCTAGGATTTCGAAGCTACAACATTGAGACGCATATCATTCGATGCGTAAGGACCATATCTATCGATTCGTCATAGCTTTTTTCGAATTTCAAATTTTGTGGATGGGGGAGTATTTTTCGCAAAATTTTCGAAAATTTTTCCATTTCCCCCTTTTTCTACCCCTTTTTTCAAAATATTTTCAAAACTGTAACGAAATTGGAAAAAAGCTACGACGAATCTCTAGATAATTCAATTGCGAATCGAATGGTATATGTCTCATCGCTGTAGCTTCAAAACTGTAGGAGGAGATAGGTTTGCAGTGACAATAAGTTAATTGTTCAGTAGAGCCTGACAAAGTCCCGGGCGCCTTGAAATAAGCATTTAAGGTGGCAAGAATGCAAGACTAGGCGATACTTGAGCTCAATTCCTGTCAAGGATGGTGTGAACGACGACACGCAAACCCTGCCGTACAACTGCAGGCGGGTAACTAAAGCACATCGTATGTGGACTAGCTATTTAAGTATGCTACCGGGAATTTTCGCCTATCCTAAATGTGAAAGAACTCCACCACCCCCCACCCTTTTGCGATCTGTCGTGAACGCATAAATCAACTTACAGAAATGATTTTGGTACCGTTGAATAGAGCAGAATGTCAGCTTTAAGACAAGATTAAAAACCAGAAAAGCCAAAATTCAAAAATTTTGACCAGACGCTCCCCTTAACATCACTCATTCATCGCAAATATTCTTTCGTCTTTTTCATTCTTCATAACCAGGGCGATGATTCCTCACTATAATTGAACGTAACTATGAACTAAGAAATATAACTCAGTACTCATTGCAGAGAGTGACATAGAGCGCATTTTCTCGTAGACGAAAACGTGAAGTCACGGACGGACGGACAGACGGACGGACGGACAGACGGACGGACGTACAGACGGACGGACGGATGGACATGACTAGCACAATAACGCTTTTATTCCATAAATGCGAAAATGCGCTAAAAACTACTTTGCAACTCATCCACGCGACAACATTTCTTCTCGCTTGCAGGCACCGACATGTGGGGCAGACTCTCAAATGACATCGTTGGCACTCCGGTTATGAACGCGTTCAAGAACAGACTAGATAAAGCTATGGATCAATCAATATAAGTTCAGACTTGAAATGCCTTTACACCATACAAACCTGTTAGAAGACTATTAGCTATTTCAAATGACCTGTTTTTAGATCGCTTGTGAGCAAGTCACGAAATGGAAATGAATCGGTGGCAGGCCACACCTGGCCTATTCTTCAGCGCCGACATCACCATGGAGTGATACGTCCACTTACCCGAAGATGATGATAGGAAAATTATGCAGGGTTAGGTTGAGAGTCGAGTAGAGACGTTTCTGTAATTGGATTATATTCGCGAAATATGGACAGGTTGAAGCATGGGCTGTAGACAAATCATGACCATATCTTCATGCTTCAACACTGACACCACAATAGTATTAAGTGTTTAAATGTTCTTTGGCAGCGCAAACAAGGTGCATCCAGCATATTTCCGATTACGTTTGACAAATGCTCGCGAAGAATGCCTGGCTGGTGTAAACATGCAAGAAATGAGAGCGTTTATCGAGAGTGTACATGCCACTCTATTATCAATACAATGTACATGTCAGATACAAGCTTTGCTACCCTTACACTTCTGCTCATATCACTTCCCGTGTATATGCATGCCAAAGGGCATAAAAGCCAATGAAGTTAAATGCTAGAAGTCATAGCGCGAATGTCAACAGCCACCGGTTAAGCATGCTCAACCATATTGAGTATGGCCATTAGGCACAGGGCCAAACCAACTCTGTCCTTACCCATGGTTGAACTAGTATAAGGTTGACCCATGAGAAGCTAATTTTTGCGGATGTAGTTCGTTTTTCGCCTGTGACGTCACTAATCTCAGTGACTTCACGGGCATTAACCAATTACCGAAATGCGACTAAACTAGTCAACCAATCCGTCATGGGAATGACGAGATTGTTCGCCTTTCTTGATCTCAGTGACGTAAAAAGAAAGCTGAACTGAAAGACGGAAATCCTCGTGAGTCGTGAGTCAGCCTTATATAGTTCAACCATGGCCCTTACCTATTCACGTTGCCCCAACTTTCCACTCTAAGCAAAGCGGAATAGACCAATCCGAAAAACTCATTAATTTGCCAGATGAATTTATTAATTTGCTTGAATAACTCCAAATTCATTCGATGTTTTAGATTATTAACACGTTTCATGCTTCATGATCTTGTTCCGGAAAAATGGGCTTAGCAAAGTTCAGATTAATTTGTTCCGGGTCCAAGTTCTAGGCAGTACCGGAGCTGTGCCTGCAGGCTGCGGCTGCAGGAAGGGGATATCTGGATTCCGGTTCGAGCTGCGGTTGACGACGGACGTGTGTAAGTTACCTAACCATATAGTAAACTGCCATATTGTTAAACACTTTTTCTTTTGTTACTTTGTACTTGGAAATCGGTCAATAGTACTACAATCTCAACTCCGAGTATGTCGCGCCATAAGCGGCGGAAGGAGAGCAGTGTGTCTTCGTCTTCAGACGAGGGCACCGGCTCTTCTTCCATGCCTGCCTTGAGAGCTCTTACTGAGCCCAACTTGCTAATAAGAGATGCACCAAACAATCGCGATCTGATATGCATTCCTGAAACACCAAGCTTGCCATTACTGGATGCATCCACAGCAATTCCAGGCTCTGCTCGTGGGAGATCAGCTGCCTCAGATTCTGGCCCTGGTGACAAGACTGGCTCTCCTAAAGATAGTAACTTTGAGGGTTTCTATGGGCATGGCAAAAATGACTTGTGTGGGATCTCCACGAGCTCACTAACCTCTGAGGATGAGATCTTGACTCCTGCTCAGAGACCTGGCACACAAAAGTACAGGAGAAATTTCACCCAGTTTACCAGAGAGACAGGAGGTCTGGTCCCTGATTCCTCCAACCTCAGGAAGGTTATCATTATTGAGCCAGTTGCTGACGATCGCCCTATAGAGAAATTTTTCTCTAATGATATAGCCCTCAGCAAGGCATTAGCTGAGTCTCCCTTTGGTAGAGCTGGAATTGCTAAATTCAATAAAAATCTAGGTCGTAAGCTCCTGGTGATTACCTTGCAGGCAGGGTGGAATTCTAGAAATGGAGGTTCACTTATAAAAAAGCTTTCCACCCAAGGTGGAATGCTTTCCTTAGATACAGTGCTCTGCCAGGTGACTTACTATAAATGAAAAGGAGGATCAAAAGTGGAGAAACTGTTTCAATTGTATAGTACCGGTACCTCAGATTTGTTATAAAATTGTTTGAATGTCTCTTGTTTGATAGATATTCTCTATTTTTTTCTATTTAATGGAATTTTTGAAATTTTTCCAGGCTTTTTGTGTGTAATGATCAAGTTTAAGTTAAGTATTTAGTTAACCAATACTGTATTACATATACCATATTTGGGGGCGGGGCTTATGGGCACAACCAATCACAGCTGGAAAGCATCCCCATCAACCAATCACAGCTTGAAAGCATCCCCAGCAACCAATCACAGCTGGAAAGCATCCCCATCAACCAATCACAGCTTGAAAGCATCCCCAGCAACCAATCACAGCTAGAAAGCAGATAACATTACAACTCCATTAACCAATCACAGCTGGAAAGCTGGTAACATTTACGTCTAAGCAAATCTCACCATCAACTAACATCAAAACTCACATCAACCTACACCATTCACACATCATTCTTTTGACGAATATGTTCATTGTTTTTATTGATAATTTTTGCGATATACTCTTTTCTTGGTACATTGCCCTCGTTCCAGTCTTAATATAATTTGTTTTGTACATATTAATGTTCTTTATCGATGGTGAGAGCTTGGGACAGATTTTTTATTTTTGTGTACACGTATTATTATTTTGGTTGAGTTAAGTTTTATATTAATGTAATGGCCATTGTTCTGTTTAATCGGTGTTGTATTGGTTGGTGTGGGCACGGGTAAAGCTTCTCAAGCCTCTTTGAACGCCGTTCTTTTATTGGGTTTCGCTTTATAATGGTTTTATATTAATGGGTTACGCTAGGTCCATGGTGAACTGATTACCTGCTTTGCAATTGAACAGTGATATATATTATACAGTGTAATGTCCATTATCCAGAGTGATATCCATGCCCATTGCTAAAATTAAACTTTGAATTCGGCTTCAAGCAAAGACATTTCTTTGCGACGACTTCCTGAAAATAGTTACGACGAGTTTACTTTGCGCAAGGAAAGAATGGTTTAAAAGAAAAATTCTTTATCACGATTATTCGACTAAGTGAGAAAATACGATTAGCACACATGTTTAAAATGCGATAACTACCGATTACGAACATCTAATTTCGAAATATAAAGCTTTAATGAAGTCCAATTACGATCATTTTAATGCTGTGCACAGATTTTGTTACTATGGGTAACCTTAACATTAAATTTCCGCACTACATCAACATTCGGTGGAAATGTTTTCCACACAAATATTTTACTCTGTAATGCAAGAAGTAACGCCAGCAAATAATCTAGTACCTCTATTGCTCCCTAAACTTTTCCGTACTTTATTATATTATATTCGGCTATATATTTTATATTTTTTAGATATTTATACTACTAAACATATTATATTTTTGGTTATATTTTGAGGTCGGGGCTCAGGGGCTTGAGGTGCTTTGCCCGGTGTTGGGGCGAGAGAGCAGTTAGCGCCGCGGAAGGGAAAAGTTCCTTTCACTTTTTCACTTTCATTGAATTGGGGAAAGTTTCTTTCACTTTCATTGAATTTATTCCTTCTCCTTCGTGTTGGTCTGCCCGTCATTTGCCGCTACTGCTGCTGCTGCTACTGCCGCTGCTGCTGCTACTGCTGCCTACTGCTCCTACTCTCACTTGCCCACACTACTTTGTACCCCCTACCACAATTTATACTACTACTACTACTACTTCTACTACCTGTTGTTACTCGGCATCTACTTCAGTTGTTATTCAACAAGTCATTGTGACACCTGGTAAGTCGTTCTTTTCTGCTTCTCGCGTCTCCACCAACTGCCATTACTCATTTTCCCTTATCTCTCCTGTCCTTATGTTCAATGCTTTACTGGTGTTTCCGTTCCTTCATCTTCCGTTCGTTCCTTCCCTCTGCACTTTCTTGTCTGCCTAGTTCCGCCTATACTTTATCCTACCCCTTCTCTTCCTTTCCCATCCTGTCCTCTGTTGTTTCCTTTCCCATCCTGTCCTCTGTTGTTTCCTTTCCCACCCTGTCCTCTGTTATCTCCTTTTCCCATTGCTGTGTCCCCATCTGTTGCTGCGTGTTGTTTTTCATCACTAGGAGCAACACTAGACCGCGCAGTCAGTCGCTCACTTCACCTCGCCTCGCTCATGCATTCTTTGCTCGACATGACTCGCTCACGGCCCCGATGTTATCCTCGTTATTTTAGTCCGGGCTTCGTACGCCTTAAAATAGTGACAAGAAATTTAAATCCCTGATTCGTCACTTTTTCATTAAATTCAACTCTCAATTAGTCAGTTTTTCTCCCACAAAATTTTGCTGAATGAGAAATAATTTCCCGGCGTCACGTGAATCAGTTTTGGAACTTTTATTAGTCCGGGAAAGTTTGGCCATAAATAAAACATTGGTAACGATATCAATATGCGCAGTAAATTAGGTGTTTTCACAAGCTATTCATGCCACGCAAAGAATGCATTGATGAAGCGAGCTGCAGGCGTACACTACAACACTTATACGCCAATTACTCCGTTATAGTAGAGTTCCGGGGCTGTGTTCTCAGAAATATTCATTGCAGCTTCAACTACGACCATAAATTTGGTCTTCAAGTCAGGATTGGATGATCAAGTTGTAAAAATTGACCAAAGTTCATTGATGACATCAAGTTGTATAAAATTCACGTACCTCTTTGGTGGAATCATGAATCAGAATAAAAAATACAACTCATTTTACGCGATATCACCTCGAGGCTGACTTTAATTGATAACAGAGTCAGAAATTAACTAATTTAACCTTAAATGCATCATTAATGTCTTTTACAGCGGAGAATATACATAGTATACATAGTTTACTATGTATATTATCTCGTGTATATAATTTTTGAGTATATAGCCCCGAGCTTGCTGCATTAGGCGACTTACAACACCATGCAACGCCTGTCACCTCACGGAAGGCCATAGCCTCAGGCCTTCTCTGTGTCTCATATAGTCGTGTTTTGCTTCAACCTTAACAACGGGACAAGGAGTTTAACTAGCATTACTGATATTAATAAAGTTGTTTGTTGTTCCTGGTATGACAGTCTTCTTTCTCTCTTACTGTCTTGCGGAGATGTTTTCTGTTTCAGCTGTCATGAGATTTACGTTTGCTGTTTCATATTTACTTGAAGATCGGACGTACTAGTATAGCTTTCGATGTTAAGAACGCTGAACAAACCTTACTCGTCCGAATGCGTTTCAGGGTGTATTTCATGACGACTTAGTCATGGTTCGTCAGTGTAATGAAGTTTGTTGGTTTTACATCCATGAGCGTTGCATGTGAGGTTATATTCTTATTGATTGTTAAAAATTTATTTCTGCTGTTGCCTTTAGGAAGTGTTCTCATATTCCTCAGAAATGAACAGTATGGCAGTCTTCTTTCTCTCTTACTGTCTTGCGGAGATGTTTTATGTTTCAGCTGTCATGAGATTTACTGTTGGCTGTTTCATATATACATGAAGATCGGACGTACGTACTAGTATAGCTTTCGATGTTAAGAACGCTGAACAAACCTAATTCGTCTGAAAGCTTTTCAGACTGTACTTCATGACGACTTAGTCATGGTTCATCTGTGTAATGAAGTTTGTTGGTTTCATATCCATGACCGTTGCAAGTGAGGTTAATCTTATTGTTTGTTAAAAATTTATTCCTGCTGTTGCCTTTAGGAAGTGTTCTCATATTCCTCAGAAATGAACTTCAAACTCAAAATTATCTGCGCTGATTCCTCACTTTGGATGTTTTTGAAGGAATTCTGCAAATTGTGCGCCGGCGAAACCTTATTTAGTACTGAATATATCACAAAAATATGTGAATAAATGAGTCGACAGCGTATAGAAATCAAGTGGAAATCTCGGCTACAGTTCGCCTTTTTCCGCGCGTGTTTATAACTGCATTCCCGAACTCTCATTGACTAAATTCGCTAACACTTGGTGAGATGGGCTGCTGATCTTTCCACTGTAGCTGAACCTGGGATACCATAAAATGTTGGTAACCATACCATAAAATGCTGTTAACCTACTGCCATTCACTAATTTCATCAGTTCTTAATTTATCTCTGTTGTGTTCTGATCCCTGCTTGAAAAAACGGTCCGATTTTTCGTTACTTTTATTAAACTTGACATGTGGGATGGTTTGCAATGTGGAGTAACTTTCCCACAGGATTTTAACTGCAAACTAAAGTTATCCCGGTTCATAACAGGTTAAGGTTATTTTCCTGACATGTGTTGAATCTCTTCGTCGATTTCCAACAACTGGGATTTTTTCGCGTTGCAAATACTAATTGCTACAAAGTTAATATGAAACTTATGCGTAGCATGTTTTGAGTAATGTCGTTCACGAAATATTCATTTCGTAAATTTGTGCATTATTTAACTCTTGTATGAGGATCCCTGACCTTTTTGCAAGCTTTAAGTAAGTGATCTGTATAGACGCTTGAAATTGTTATAGTCTTGCAGCTGTAGCATTGCATGAAATAAACACTAGCATGAGAATTGTCTGTATCGTATGTTGTTCGAGCAGCTTAACCGTTCGTAATAGCTCTAGTCAAGTAGTCGTAGTCGAACTCTGCCTAAGAATGCATAGCTTGACCTTACGTCTGCTCAAAAGTTGAATTGCTAGCATTGGTAATAAAATATAATTCGAAATTGATTCTCAATTTAAGTTCAAAATGTGTAAAATTGCAATAATTTGAGATTTGTCGATCTGTACTTAAATTGTATTGCATAAATTCGGCATGTACTCATCTAATTGCTGCTGCATTCATTGCGAACGTCTCTCTTTAATTTGTATTCATCTACAAGTTTGCTCACTTTGCTCGATTCTAATTATTTTGATTTCATTCATGTGATGATTTAGCAAATGAAATAATGATGAGGCCGAAGAGCTTGCTAATCTGAGGCTGGTTCTGTTTCATGTAGAGAGAAGCGCTGCCGTCAGGAAGGAAGTCATCAAAAACAAGATCCGCGCCATCGGCAAAATGGCTCGAGTCTTCTCGGTTCTAAGGTGAGATTTGCTTCTTGTTTTGTGCTTTATTATGACGTAAATTTTCTTATTTTATGCTGTTGTATTAGTGATACTTTCAATATACCTATACCTTCGAATAATTACTCATTTTTTTTTTATATACCTATATAGGTACTGGTCAACCCGTAAACCAACACTTGAATGGGATGTTATTCTTTGTATATATAACTGGTATATCCGTTGGCCAGTTAACTGCGAACAGTTTCTTATTCTTAGGTTAAGGATCAGTCGAAGACGAATATTTGAATATGAGCTTATTTTTTGGATAAAGTTAAAGACGACCCACTGACCAAGATGACTCTACCTATAGAATTTTATTTTTTATGACTAAAATCATCATTATTTTAACATACTATTGGTCGATGAGTAGTCAGACTTGAGTGCTAGCGTATTGTTTGGATAGATATACCGGTACCGGTTACATTTTGCTCATGCAGACTTTGATGTGATCTTTCATGTTCCTTGTTGGGACATTTAGTAGTCGCATCTTTCGTGTTGATGCCCATTGTTGTGGTGACATTTAGTGAGATGTTTCATCTTCATGTCGCTTACTGTATTGACATTAAGTGAGATGTTTCATGTTGATGTCCCGTGTTGTGGTGACATTTAATGAGATGTTTCATGTTGATGCCCCTTATTGTGGTGATATTCAATTCGATGTTTCACGTTGTCGTCACTTATTTATTGACATTTAATGAGATTTTTCATGTTTATGTCACTTATTGCGGCGACATTTATCGAGATGATTCATGTTGATGTCACTTATTGTGGCGACATTTAGCGAGATGATTCATGTTGATGTCATTTATTATGGTAACAGCTAGTGAGATCTTCCATGTTGATGTAACTTATTGTGGTGATATGAAAAATGTTCCATGTTGATGTAACTTATTGTGGTGATATGAAAGTGGTGACATTTAATGAGATGTTTCATGTTGATGCCCCTTATTGTGGTGATATTCAATTCGATGTTTCACGTTGTCGTCACTTATTTCTTGACATTCAGTGAGATGTTTCATGTTGATGTCACTTATTATGGTAACAGCTAGTGAGATCTTTCATGTTGATATCACTTATTGTGGTGATATGAATTATGTTTCAAGTTGATGTAACTTATTGTACCAATAGAGAAGAGAGCGAGAGCGTGCTGCAGCTGAAGGGTCTCACACCCACGGGAGCGCTGCCTCTGGGAGCTCTCAGTGGAGGCGCCGTGTCTCTGAAGAACGGTAGGTCTGAGCCTCGTCGATATCAGGGGCCATACTTTCAAAAAAAGTTAAGAGATCGTAAGTTCATTAGCCTATCATTGCCGGCCTTTCAAGGAAAATCCACCAGTAAGAGATAAGAAAATAGAGCGTAAGTTCTTTCATTAACTTAGCGAGCTTTGAAAGTATGGCGCCAGCTCCATATCACACCTCTGAATTCTCCTTGCATTAATACATCCAAATATCTAATTCACTAAAAGTGTCGTCTTTGGATGTAAACGTGTCACTGCAACCACAGAAGACGAGGTCAGTCTTACTTATGCTCAGTGTCGTCTTAGGACATAAACGTTCCCTGATGCTCTCTCTTTCGTGTTATAATCACAAGCTTGGTTGTTGCTGATCACTCGTATAAGAGATGTTCAACTCCCATGAATCAGTATGATGTATCATGGGGTGATTATGTTTTAAATTGATTGCTTCTGATCACTCAGAGAAGAGAAGATGTTTGTATAACGCCAATGAATCAGTACGATGTGTCGGACAATTGTGTTAACGCTTGATTGTTCCTCATTACTCAATAATAATCAACAATCTCGCGCTAAGTATGATGTGCTTGCAGCATATTAACTCTATTTATTTTCAGCCCACGGAATAATATGTGGTCGGTTGCGGTGGCTGCTGCCTGACCATCTCATGGGCGCCGCCTGAGAAGAAACGCCGGTCTGCTGCGCAAAGATTTTCTTCGACTAAGTCACGCTTGCGTCCGCTCTCAAGCATTCGCCTGGCGAGCCCAGACTCTGGGGGTGGTTTGTTGGTCCATGTCGTGTTGTATTCCTTTGCTTTTATTTCGTTGACTGTACGGAGGAAATACTCACGTTATCCTTCTTATTCCCCCGCCCCCTTGCAAGCCATGAAGTCCGTGAGAAAAAATACTGTGCGTCATGCGAGGACGGAGAATTTCCCTGTTAATGCTTGGCTACAAGAAGCACGACTCGAATTCATGTCCTCGATGAAAGAGTTCCAGCTTGGCGCTACCTGGCCGCATCTAGAATTAGATAAATCTTTAATTCTCTGGTGTTTTTACAGGCTTAGAACTGCTTATGCAAAAATAGCTGAATGCATGTGGCATATTCGTTCGTGGCTGAAGTGCTTTTTGCCACTCATTATTTCGTCTTCTTCTGTACTCTCGAAGACAAGCTGAATGAACAATCTACAAACAAAGGTGAAGTTCGAGAGGCAGAGACTTGAAAGAATAAGATATGTGTGAGCGGTGCCGAAGTTCTCAATGCTCATGAATGTATTACTGTTAGGAAGGCTCGCCTGTGTTCTGGGGACGCTTTAAGTCGTTCATTCAAGAAGCATCGGTGCGTTCAAATCTCTTTCCTCGAATACCCACACACTACTGATAGTACTGCAATTTCTATTACTACTATGCTCAGTCTAGCAGGGAAGTGTGTTAGCTCTTAAACCTGCCCGTTCCTGGTGAGTAATGCAGCTGATAAGCTTCACTGCTCTCACTTGTTTCTCGGGCAAGCCAGTATCGTCAAACTCCGTACTAAAAATTTCTCTGAAGCAAAATGATGCTTCTGCTTACGGCCATTTCAAGTTCAGCTTTCGTGCGCATGTTTTACGCAAAAACAGTTCGAATTTATGTAAATTTTTTATTTTAAATTGTCTCAATGATGTGATCTCAGTTTATTTTGTCGCAAAAAAATGGTTGCTAGCTACATGGTTTCTTCAGGCACTGGCTCGAGACCGCTTGACTGTTGCTCATCGGAGCGGGCCGGCAGTATGAGCGCCGCTCTCTGTCTCATAGTTAAGGATAGGCTAGTTAGTGTGTCTCGTCTTTTGAACTTTTCCCTCATCACTGCTGCCTTCTGCCATTCTTCACCACTTCTTCACTACCGCCTTCGACCCTTTTGCATCACTGCCTTCAACCCTTTGTCACCACCTCCTCCGACCTTTTTCACTACCGCCTCCAACACTTTTTCTTCACTACAGCCTCCGCCCTTCTTTACCGTCTAATTTCTTCATTACTCTCGTAGAGCAACAGCAGCAGTGACGCAACAGTAAGCAACACATGATATATTTCAGTAATTTTCAGGGCGTATTCATGACACGAGTTCATATGCTTCTCCCAACACTCACGCCATTATTCTGGCCGCCTATGTTGCCACGAAAACACCGTGCCATTGAGGTTACCACGAACCTTACTTGCTGTATTCGGCAAAAATCTGAAATAAAATATAAGTCTCTTAAGACAAGGTCTGGTCTACTCTAAGCCTCTCTGAACGATAATGAGCTTCGCGTGTTCCTGCACTATGACATACAAATGAATGTGTGTCGTAAAACCTAGTGTATGCAAGGACTTCTCTCTTAACCCATCTCTGTCCATTAGCATGAAATTTTCATCATGATGGAAACTATGTTTAAGGAAACAACTTGGATATGCCATCGCTTGAGTAGTAGTGATTTCCGCTTTATAGATTGAATCAAATTTTTGTATGTTCCCATTGAACGTAAGCTATTATGCTGTGGCTGAGCCTTGTGTGTCTGACACTGAGGGATTATTTCTCTCCTGCATGCCGTGTTTTCAGCGACGTCTTTATCCCAACTTACTTTTATATGTGAGCAAATACGCAAAATTCTGCGTTTGTGCGAGCTGGTGAAATCTAGTTCAAAACAATTTTATGTATCTAAATATTGCCTCTTAGTTTTTATGTTTAATTTGAATTTAGCTTACGAATTACGTACAAAATTGTTCACTAGTATTCCTTTTCTAGGTATTCGTCTTGTTCTCTTGAATATTGTTCAGCTTCGTTCGCTCATTTACAGGTTTCATCACCGCAATTCGACAAGCAGGCTAATCGTGTATCTTGAACGATAATCGAATGGCCGATAAATTCAAATTACTTTTCTTCCTTTCGTTAACACTCGTCATGCGATGATTTTTTTTTCAATTTATTTGAATAAATTATGAATTTTATCAAGTTTTTGTTCAGTGAAGACAAGCGTGTAAACCATGATGGTTTATGGTAAACTGTGGAACCATTTCTCTCCGTTTTGTGCAAATTGCGAGCGAAACCGTTTGTTGATTCGAGTTTGTTGTAAGACTAACTTTTTTCTTCTTCTTACTTCCTGGTTCCAATTCAAGTTGTATTTAATTCAACGGAACTTTTGAGATATTATTAGTTATTATTTCAATCGATGTAGTGCAGATATACTGATCTCTTTGTCCTGGATCTTCGATGCAATATTTTAGAATATCGTCAAAACATAAGATTTGTAAAAGTAGAACATTATCGGCTAATATTACGCTATTAGGGCTCAAAAGTTGCATGTTTTGTTGAGAGCTCCAAACATTTTTTTTTCGCATTTAATGCTTTCCATTACCGACTTTGATGCATGTTGGGCCTTTATTTGAAGTGTAAGGCTCATACACAATACGTTTATTCTAGTCCCTCAAGCTAAATTATTATAACTTGTAACGCAGAGTACTTATTAATGTAGCCATGGGTATTTTGACGCATGTGTTACGTGAGGAGTGTTTTTTTTCTTACGATGTCCTGGACATCAGAGGTGGTTGTGAACTTTCGGTTGCCTTCTCTATTGCGTCTGCGTTGCCTTTTTGCTATTAGGACGCCCCTGGTGGGCAATGTTGTTCAGTCGGTATTTGCATGAGTATTGCATTGTATGTTCACTTCTAATTTACTCTCTCAAAGTAGCTTGTGTTTCAACACATTTCAGGCTGATCTTGTGATAAGCTGAGTAAAAAATGCCGCTCACAATTTTTTTATTGTTGTCATTTTGGAATAGTGTGCAAATGCTCATATTCAAAAAGTTAGTTTTTTGTTTTCTTTCGTCGCGAATGACGACCTCATCTGCCGACGTGTTCATTGTAAGCCTAACCCTGACCATTCCCTTGAGGTTTAGTCTCATCTGAGACGCGACCCTTGCCTTACATTTATTATTGTTACATCGCTCCTTATTCGGTAGATACATCGCTCCTTATTCGGTAGATATTCAGGGGATAACTTTTCTGTATTTAGATCCCTCGTGGATGTAAATCGTACTATTCATTTCAACACCGTATCATAAATTCGGATCTACGGAAAATGTGCCGAGTTATATTTCTTTTTTGGTGTCGTTGAGGAGAAGGTCGCTGTAAAGAACCTGTTTATTGTGTTGTGAGTTGTACGAGTTTTTCTGACGTGCAACTTTACCTTTCTTGTAATTATTCATGCTCACATATTGAAGGTATTATAGCGCCGGTGTTGGGTGTACTGGGCGAAACATGTTGATGTTATCCAACATGAGATGATGTTATACAACATGAGATGATGTTATACAACATTAGATGATGTTGTCCCACATTAGATGATGTCGTCCAACATGAGATGATGTTATACAACATGAGATGATGTTATCCAACATGAGATGATGTTATACAACATGAGATGATGTTATCCAACATGAGATGATGTTGTCCAACATTAGATGATGTCGTCCAACATGAGATAATGTTGTTGGAAAAAGCACTGTTGTCCAACATGAAATTGTGTTGACAATGTTGTCCAACAACGACAATGTTGTCCAACATGAGATGATGTCGTCCAACATTAGATGATGTTGTCCAACATAAGATAATGTTGTCCAACATAAGATGATGTTGTCCAACATAAGATGATATTGTCCAACATAAGATGATATTGTCCAACATAAGATGATGTTGGCCAAGAAATTGTTATGTTGGCCATTTGCTGATGATTTGGGCAACATATAATGATGTTTGGCAAGATATTATGATGTTGAGCATCGTATGTTGATGCTATCCGCAAACTCTGCATGACCTGTAAAAAAACTGGATGGTTTCCATGCAGTTCTGTAATATACTTCATGAAATCTCTTGGTGGTATTTAGCTCGATTGTGTGTTGTATATTGTATCCGTGTATTATACGCTCATTTTCCCATTATGTTTGATGCTGTGTGCTCTCATTCTGTCTTAAATGTGTCTGTA